AATCTTGCGACCTTGAAAAGGTGAAGATATTTACGATAACACGACTGAAGTACTGCCATACAATCTCGGCCGTCTGTTAGACATTCCAGAAGGTTTTTTTTATCAGTTTTCAAATTTTTATTCGAGATTTCTGTCAAAATTATTTTTCATAGCCTAGTCTGGATCTGATGTCACCAGTTTGAAACCAGTGCCGTTAAGCTCAAGAAAGCTTCTTTCTGATTCACTAATGTCGACTTCCTGTCACTCATTTCTTTGGTTGGTCAAAGTGTGTGAAAGGTCGCTCTGACTTGACCTGTAATGGGATGCCCTCAGATCTTTATTTGAGTAGCTGGTTGTGCAGGAGGTGATGAAAATCTAATTATTTGAAATCTGAAATCTATTGAATGATCTCATGAAATATACAACACAATTCCAAATAATCATATGAATAACCATGATTAAACCAATTGTTATACAGTTTGTCATGTATGAGCTTATAAGTAGTTCAGTCATTATTCTGCATGCAGGCCTATTTATCGTTATTGTTTTAGTCTAAATAAATTGCTTTAGTAATGTCAGCTTGAAATCAAAACAGTCCCTTTAACTTTTGAAGTAATAGAGAATTTAACCCTTGTGTCTCTTTATGTTAAATATATCAACATCAGTCGATATAATACAAGTAATCCCATTTATTCTGGTAATAACAGTTATTAGAACACAGTAAATATAACACAGTAAAGTGAGTGAGTGTGTGAGTATGGTTTTACGCCGCTTTTAGCAATATTCCAGCAATATCACGGCGGGGGACACCAGAAATGGGCTTCACACATTGTACCCATGTCGGGAATCGAACCCGGGTCTTCGGCGTGACGAGCGAACGCTTTAACCACTAGGCTACCCGACCGCCCCTAACACAGTAAATATAACACAGTAAATATATCACAGTAAATATAACATAGTATTAGATATAGCACAGTAAATATATCAGTACAGTATGTATATCACAGTGAAAATAACAGTACAGTAAATATAACACAGTAAATATAACACAGTAAATATAACAGTACAGTAAGTATATCACAGTGAAAATAACAGTACAGTAAATATAACACAGTAAATATAACAGTACAGTAAGTATATCACAGTGAAAATAACAGTACAGTAAATATATCACAGTAAATATAACACAGTAAATATAACAGTACAGTAAGTATATCACAGTGAAAATAACAGTACAGTAAATATAACACAGTAAATATCTCACAGTAAATATAACACAGTAAATATAACACAGTAAATATATCACTTGTACCATCAAGCCTGTGAAAATCCTGGTTTGAATAGGCCTTCAGCAACCCATGCTTGTCGTAAAAGGCGACTAACATGATCAGGGCCCACTTGCACAAACTGACCTTAGCGCTAAGACTATTGTAAGCCTATGTTAAAGTATGGGAGTTAAGATCATCTTAGCGCTAAGATCGCTTTGTGCAAGTGGGTCCAGGTGGTCAGGCTCGCTGACTTGGTTGATGCATGTTATCATTACCTAACTGCATGGATCTATGCTTATTATGTCAATGACTGGATTGACTGGTGCAGACTCGATGATTTACAGACCACCATCATATAGCTGGAATATTGCTCAGTGCAGCGTTAAACAACAAACAAACAAACAAAACTTGTACCATCACAGCAAATATATCAGTTAAGTCATAAGTAATAACCTTTTTAATCTGGTAATATCACAGTAATATCACAAAGTCATATATAATAACTCATTTAATTTGGTAATATCATGACCAATTTAATCTGGAAATGACACAGTTAAATTTCACAGTTAAGTCATAAATATTACCAATTTAATCTGGTAATATCACAGTAATATCACAGTTAAATCATGAATAATTACCCATTTAATCTGGTTATGTCACAGTTAAATCATAAATAATAACCCATTTAATCTGGTTCAGGTCACAGTTAAAATATCACTTGTACCATCACAGCAAATATGTCACAGTACTAGAACAGTTAATACCTAAATACTATCCTGGCAATATCACAGTTAAATCATAAATAATAACCCATTTAATCTGGTTCATGTCACAGTTAATATATCACTTGTACCATCACAGCAAATATGTCACAGTACTAGAACAGTTAATACCTAAATACTATCCTGGCAATATCACAGTTAAATCATAAATAATAACCCATTTAATCTGGTTCATGTCACAGTTAATATATCACTTGTACCATCACAGCAAATATGTCACAATACTAGAACAGTTAATACCTAAATAATATCCTGGTAATATCACAGTATTCATGTTACTATTGCCCTAACAGAATTCTATAATGTGCACGCTAATCGCATGACAATACATGTATTTTTATACACAGAGCTCCAGATAAGCTTTTGGTGTTGTGGGTATTTTACCCATGCATTTTAAAATCAATGGGTATCAGTAATTCTATCTGGGTATTCAAATTTCTGTTACCCACTAGTTTTTACACATGTGGGTATTTAAGTTAAATATTTAAAAACACTATTCATCTAGTCCCTGCAAACTGGTGCTGTGTGGGTTCGAGAGCTTTATAGGACTAAACAACACACGATACTTCCACAAGAAAGTTTGATGGCAAATGATCATGATGTAACTGTCATCGTGGAGTTTGGCAAGGTTGACGGAATGTCCGTTTATAATTTCAAAATAAGTTGCTGATTTGCTAATCGAATACGCAGGGTTACTTCACAATATTTTGATGATACGCACAAGTTTTATTTTTGTAGGGAATCTGTAATGTTCGTTGCGTATTTGATACGCTTGGATTTTATTTTACTGCGTATTTCTGCATTTTTGATGCGTATTTTACGCAGATACGCAGCTTATCTGGAGCTCTGTATACATCATCAGGCAAGTTTTCAGGAAAGGGGTTTTCTTCATGTGATAACCGGTTTTTAGCAGCACTGCAACAATTGACTTACAATTATAGTGTGCATGGATTGTGAGACAAGAATGGGGAAAAGTTATGAATCTGGGAATATTATCCAAACAGCTGTTGTGGGGATTACCAGAGTTTTAATTTAAGTTGCCTTAGCAACCATTTCAGGAAAACAAGATGCCAGCTGACACACGTCTGGATAGTAGTAATTGTCATAAACTCAACCAGTTGTACGATTTGTGTTTCTATTAGTTTTTATGCCATGTATATGTTGACTTAATAGATGAATAACTATGTTTTATGATTGTGAAAAATAATGATTATCTGCATATTTATTGAAGCAACCAGCATAAAATGTATCATAGCGGATATCTGTCCTTGTTTGGATGAATGAGCGTCAGTTTGATCATGGCTTATGTTGAGGGGCAATGATGGTAGCCGACTGTTAGGATGACTGGTGTTGATGGTTATTATATGTGTGTCACACTATGCAGGGGACAGCAGGTGCTTGTGAGCCCAGATCAAATCTAACACAGGCTGGGATACTGATTGTATGAATAGTGTGCTTGCTTCTACTTATGTTGTATATGTAACAATTAAGTTGATGATGGTTGAATGTTTGGTCCTCATGATGCTTCGGCCAGTGGTAAATTGTAGAATTTGGTCTGCCTTTTTCGTGCAATGGAATCTGTTTCGGCAGATATTCAAGACTCAGGTCTTCTGGTGTTGACCTTTTAATGTTTAACATGTTAAGTATGCTGACCGCAAAAAGACACACAAATACCAGGGGTCCGGAAACCGTCATATGCGCCGGACATGTCCAATTGGGAATCTCAAATGTCCGGTTTAAAATATTGCTTACCGGACATTTAAAAAAGTATTGTCCGGCCTTTTCTTAAATTTTGACCGGACATGATCAACAGTTAGGACTGAGCAGTTTCTGTCGGCAGTTGTAACACAATGAAGATTATCTACACTGACAAGCTTTGTTTGTTTTGATTGCTGTAAATACATCGTACCTACATGATAGTCCAAGCGGTCAATCACTGTAATAGGCAATAAACTGAGTTGACACTAATTAATCAAGGATTAATTACTGAGAACATCTTTTTAATTTGAGTGAAAGGGTTTACAACAGTACATAAATACCTTGCATCATCGATGTACCTCATTATCCTCACAATGTTACAATACGTAACCTCAGACAAGAAGCGAAAGCGTGACGACAGCCACTCGACCGATGCAGATCAGTTGTATTTGTCAAATACCATACATGTTAGTTAATATATGGAGACTTACTCATATTTAAGAAACATAGATTGGTTTGATGCATAAACGAACACACTGGTATATTGTGTGAACAGACACTCATGAACGCATCACATGTCACATCATAGATGCGCCATTTGCCTTGTGCAAGACTATAGCGTGTAAAGTTTGGAAATCACGTGCATTTCAGCATTTCGTGATAAGAATAAAGTCACTCTGAGGTAACACTTGACTGATTCTTAGTTTTGTCGTTAATTGGTACACATTGGAAACGTCTCTTCTTAGTGTGCATTACTTCTCTATATGTTTCTGTGGTTCGCGTTTCTTTTGGCGGTGAGTTTATAATGCTTATATCATATCTCAGAAATTATACTGCTGTTGTCATCAGGCCAGAAATACATGAACAGCTGATTTTCAAAGTGCTGTGGATTTTTCTCTATCTTGAGCGTTGTTGAGTGTGCAGTAATTCAATTTATGGGATATGGGAATGATGGGAGAGAGTAGAGTTGTGTCCCTTTGCTGCCAAATTTTTGTCAGTCCCAACTAGTTTTAATTCTTTCAACATTGTCAACAGTGTTTTCTACGTTCATGGTTGACAAATTGAGTGATGTCATGTTTCGGGACTACTTTACTGATGCTTTGTTCAACAACAAAGATTTATAAGGTACATGTACTTTATTTGCCGGTCCACAGGGACTGACAGTCACATGAATTACCGGTCCAAGATTAATTTTACCAGTAATAAAATGGTAATTAAAGGTAAACAGGAACACTGTTCTGGAGGTATTTCATGATGTCTCCCTCTGTTTCAGAACGATGTATGCCAGAACAGGTTCATCTGTCATTTGGCAACGCGCTGTCAGAGATGGTGGTAATGTGGGCGACACCCAGCAACTGTTCTACAGCTCTGGTGTATGGAGACTCAGAATGGGGCTTCCATGACACAGCTGAAGGCAAGACCATCAAGTTTGATCTAAAGAACCCCAGCGGCGTCCAGTATCTACACCAGGTCAAGCTACAGGTAGGGGGATTATTGACAAGAGGAAGTGACATTGCCTGTTGAGGAAATAGAGGTTATCACGCGAGTGTGTTTGGAGATGGTAAATATCCTGCATTAGGAATAAACATTGTATTTAGCGAGCCTTGTTTCTAAATTCATATCTCCAAAGTTGCCAAAAGTTATAAAATGCCTTAGCTACATCACAGTTAGACACTGATTTTCAGTATATTAGACTGTTCTTTTGATAATGCAATTATCCCTTTAGTTTATGCAGATTGCCGAAGGTTAATTCTGACTCGATCGCCGAATGACAAGGGCGACGCCATGTTTGTTTGTAAACACTGAAAGTAGTCCCTACTTGACCTTTGATAATGATATTTGCATCTCTATCCACATATCATGACATATGATCCCAACGGATATCGTTTTTATCCATTGGCTTTATCCTGCCAAGAAACCTACCCATTATATGATAAAGAAAGTTATTTGTACATACCCGGTCCATTATCTGCTTCTGAACAAATTTAAGATTCTCAAATTCCGAAGATATGGTACATTGCATATCTAGAGATTTGTGTCATTTTGGGCTGGAAATACCAAACTATTATGCAATCCCATTATTATACGATCTGGTTATAAAATTGTGTTCATTGTATATCTGGACTTATGTTTGTGAGATATTTTATGAATTTTATTCAAATTTTCATTCAATATTGTTTACAATAATTTTGGCGAAATCGTGTCAGATTACTGCTATTGATGCCTTGAAACAAACTTTAGTTGCCAGAGAATGGATACATTTATCAAAAATGCCATACTTTGACTCTTTAAAAGTCACTTTTGTTGCAATGTGACTATTATATGTCAACATTATGTTATCGCAATTGAAATACACATGGCGCAGGAAGTCCCTACGGTGACTGGTCAAATTGGTCCATATGTCAAAAATATCCTGCAGTAGCAATCAGTTGTACCAAAGTGTTACGCTTAAAGTTCTTATAATTATAAATGTATATAGTAAAAAGCCGCAACTAAAATAACACGATTTTGGAATATATTATTCCTGGTAAAATAATCATTTCCGATACAGTTTGTTCAAAATTCTTTGAAGTTGTATCAATGGGTACTTTTTGACTGAATCACCGGTAGATTGTTGTGAGAACGTGTGCACAGCTGATGTCTATTTCCGGCTTAGTTTACGAGAAAATACACACGGTAATCTTCATCTCTGCCTATAAAACAATGCCTTGGAGAGCTGGAAATACAATTTAAATGGTAAATCATCATGTCTAGCGAAGTTTTATATCAAATTTAATATTTTTATCGACCAAGTTTGTTATCATGGTTATACCTGTTTGTTCACCTGAATTTGCTGAAGCCAGGTTTAGATCAACACGTGTTTTATAAAATACAACACTTGATAGATACATAAGTCTAATATATACAATTTCAACCTCTCGGGATGTAGGTCAGTGTGCCTGTGGTGATTGATGTTGACCGAATATTAAAATGTCCGGTTTGCACTATTTCAAGTTGGACATTTTGCAGTCACAGTCGGACAAGTCCGGCGCACAGACCGATTTCCTGATCCCTGGTCCTGACATAGCTGAAATATTGCTGACTTTGCTGTAAGACAGCAAGCAAACAAAGAAAGCATTCAGTGTCTTTGTGCTAGTCACTGGTCGGTGATTGTTTAGGACTTTCAGCTAAGAGGCAGGCATATTTTTAAAAAAGAGTTATTTTTCAAAATTGGGTGTTCTTATTTCTTAAATTTATAGGTTTTCAGCTTTGAATAAAATAAAATAGTGTAAAGCTACATTTTTCTCTGAATTGTTCCTGTTATCAGTGAAACAAATATAAAACGTCAACGCAAGAGAGTAACCAGTTTCGATTATCCACGAGAAGCAGATTCCAATTGGCGTAAGGGCAAATAACGTGAAAATTATATGAATGGGTTACTGAAAATCAGTGATGACATCAGGTGGTCGTAAAAAGGGTAAGCATAAAACATTCATTTTATGAAAATCTACATTGATAAATTCCAAACCTTTTCGCTGACTTTGCCATAGACCCTGGAACAAAATGTGGCCTCTGGGAGGACCTAGTTGACCCACTGCTGTTAAGATTGTGGTCTACAAACGTCCAGCATCTGTCCTCCAAACTGACTTCATCTTGCTATCAATGTTGCAGTGCATGTTGAATGTTGTTTCAGAATCTGAAAGCAGAGACAACGTACCACTACCGCCCTCTCAGTAACAACATCGGTGCTGGCCCTTTCTACTTCAAGACTCCACCAACTGGACAGGTACCCAACATAAATATACAGTTGCGGGTGCAGAGACATCTTTTTGGAACATGACGGGTGCATTTTGTGATTTGGCAATCCGCTTCAGGAATCATTCAGGAATCAAGTTATCACCAAATGAGTCATAATATGTGAAATGTTTACTTTTAGTATATCCAGTCACCCAGTAAATTCCTGCATGATTAAACAACCACACACACACACACACACACACACACACACACACACACACACACACACACACACACACACACACACTGACACACACACACACACACACACACACACACACACACACACACACACACACACACACACACACACACACACACACACACACACACACACACAAACTGACACACACACACACACACAGACACACACACTGACACACACAACCACACACACTCACTCACTCACTCACTCACTCACTCACTCACTCACTCACTCACTCTCACTCACCCCTTTTCTGTAGATTTGCATATGATTCGCTTGTTCTCAATGAAAGCCAATGTTGCCCACATGGGTACAATGTGTGGAGTCCATTTTTGGTGTCCCCTGACAATAAATTGCTGGAATATTGCTAAAAGAGGCATAAAACCAGCCAACTCACTCATTCATTCAATGGGTCCTCATATGAGGTGATATGTTGTGTCTTCTTGGGCTACCTTGAAGTTACCTGAATATGGACATGAAATTCGACATGAGGTGTTGTTTCCTGCCCCTTGTGTTTATACCAATGTAGATTCCAACATAGTTCCCAGCCCATGATGTCAATCACTGGATTGTCTGGTCCAGGCTCGAGTATGTACAGACTGCTATCATGTAGTTGGAATATCGCAGCTTTAAAGAACAAACAAACAAAAACATCTTTCCAGGACTGGTCGCCTCTGTTCCTGGTGTACGGAGACCTCGGTATCCACTCCTACACCATCCCCTCACTCACACAGGAAGCGCTGACCGGGGACTACACCGCTGTGCTGCACGACGGGGACTTTGCCTACAATTTGCATGATGAAGGGGGAACGGTAAGTTGCCATGGTTTGTGATTGAGACAGTGTTATGATCATGATGATATCTTATGAATAGAATGTACAGTTTTAAGGACAAACATTTGAATGAAGTGTTTGTTACTCAAATTAATGCCAAATCTTCAAAAACTGGTCTTGATCTATAACTTCAAGGAATGTAATATGGAATTTATGGCATCACAACCATTGGTATTTGCTAGGCAATGCAATAGAAACACTTTCACATAATTATGTGTGACGCTGCAGGCAGTAGGGGCATCATGAGTCGCTAATGTATCACTGCATCGCCAATTTTCACTGCGACTGAAGACCCTCCTATGCAAGTATCATGATTGAAGTGTTAATTATGTATCAATTTCTAAAAGTATTATTTCTGAAATTTTGCAATAACTCTAATACCTAAGCTTGTGTTGTCTTACCATCTATCATGAAACAATCAACTATATCATACGTGCAAGGTCTTACCATCTATCATGAAACAATTAACTATATGTGATTGCATCATACGTGCAAGGTTACACAACCCGATTAGTAGCAACATCAGCAGGTTTGTAACACTGTAGGTAGGAACACTTCCACCTGTTTGTAACACTGTAGGTAGGAACACTTCCATCTGTTTGTAACACTGTAGGTAGGAACACTTCCACCTGTGTGTAACACTGTATGTAAGAACACTTCCACCTGTGTGTAACATTGTAGGTAGGAACACTTCCACCTGTGTGTAACACTGTAGGTAGGAACACCTCCATCTGTTTGTAACACTGTAGGTAGGAACACTTCCATCTGTTTGTAACACTGTAGGTAGGAACACCTCCACCTGTTTGTAACACTGTAGGTAGGAACACTTCCACCTGTGTGTAACACTGTAGGTAGGAACACCTCCACCTGTTTGTAACACTGTATGTAAGAACACTTCCACCTGTGTGTAACATTGTAGGTAGGAACACTTCCACCTGTGTGTAACACTGTAGGTAGGAACACTTCCACCTGTGTGTAACACTGTAGGTAGGAACACCTCCACCTGTTTGTAACACTGTATGTAAGAACACTTCCACCTGTGTGTAACATTGTAGGTAGGAACACTTCCACCTGTGTGTAACACTGTAGGTAGGAACACTTCCACCTGTGTGTAACACTGTAGGTAGGAACACCTCCACCTGTTTGTAACACTGTAGGTAGGAACACCTCCACCTGTGTGTAACACTGTAGGTAGGAACACCTCCACCTGTTTGTAACACTGTAGGTAGGAACACTTCCACCTGTGTGTAACACTGTAGGTAGGAACACCTCCACCTGTTTGTAACACTGTATGTAAGAACACTTCCACCTGTGTGTAACATTGTAAGTAGGAACACTTCCACCTGTGTGTAACACTGTAGGTAGGAACACTTCAACCTGTGTGTAACACTGTAGGTAGGAACACCTCCACCTGTTTGTAACACTGTATGTAAGAACACTTCCACCTGTGTGTAACATTGTAGGTAGGAACACTTCCACCTGTGTGTAACACTGTAGGTAGGAACACTTCCACCTGTGTGTAACACTGTAGGTAGGAACACCTCCACCTGTTTGTAACACTGTAGGTAGGAACACCTCCACCTGTGTGTAACACTGTAGGTAGGAACACCTCCATCTGTTTGTAACACTGTAGGTAGGAACACTTCCACCTGTGTGTAACACTGTAGGTAGGAACACCTCCATCTGTTTGTAACATTGTAGGTAGGAACACTTCCACCTGTGTGTAACACTGAAGGTAGGAACACCTCCATCTGTTTGTAACACTGTAGGTAGGAACACCTCTATCTGTGTGTAACACTGTAGGTAGGAACACCTCTATCTGTGTGTAACACTGTAGGTAGGAACACCTCTATCTGTGTGTAACACTGTAGGTAGGAACACTTTCACCTGTGTGTAACACTGTAGGTAGGAACACCTCCACCTGTGTGTAACACTGTAGGTAGGAACACCTCTATCTGTGTGTAACACTGTAGGTAGGAACACCTCTATCTGTGTGTAACACTGTAGGTAGGAACACTTTCACCTGTGTGTAACACTGTAGGTAGGAACACTTTCACCTGTGTGTAACACTGTAGGTAGGAACACTTCCATCTGTTTGTAACACTGTAGGTAGGAACACTTTCACCTGTGTGTAACTCTTCAGGTTGGGGACACGTTCATGCGGCTGATACAAGGGATATCCTCACAGGTTCCCTACATGACGGCAGTGGGCAACCACGGTAAGTCACAAGTCGCATGTGGGTGTGGGTGGCTACCTGGGGAGGTAGCAGGTGGCTGTGGGTGGCTACCTGGGGACAGTAGCAGGTGGGTGTGGGTGGCTACCTGGAGACACTAGCAGGTGGGTGTGGGTGGCTACCTGGGGACAGTAGCAGGTGGTGTGGGTGGCTACCTGGGGGCAGTAACAGGTGGGTGTTCGTTACACCATCTGAGCTGATACCAGAATGTGTCTGTTGTTTATATAGCCTTTATGGCTTCCATCACTCTTTTCCATGTTCCACATAAGCAAACCTTCTCCCATGTTAACAGTGCCAGGTTTAAAAAATTGCTCAACATTTTAAAAGGTATTGATTTTAGTCATTTATTAGAAGATTTTACACTGAAAAAAGAATAAAACAAACTTATTGTTATCATTTGAAAGAAACATCAATATGAGTATGATTATAGCTGTTTTGTCTTCATGAATACAATTTACAATTAATATTTTGCAGTCTAACCAGATTAACTATTTGCTATGTTCACTTTTGTAGACTAAGGACCTAACATTGGTAATGGCGCCATTATGTTTGGATATTTGAATTTCAACATTGTTCAATTGCCTTGGTTTTTCAGAAATCAATGATGACACATTCTCACACTATCGCCACCGTTTCTCTATGCCTGGATCTGATTGGCCAATTCCTGTAGATAAGATGTGGTACAGCATTGATGTGGGACCCGTGCACTTCATCAGGTGGGACCCCATGGGTATTCGGGGTAGAATAAGTCCTAGCAACCTGTGCTGGTTGTAGGAGTTCGTGGGGGACCGGGAGTGTCAGCTTGGGTGCCTCGGATGATTGTGTGTACCCCAATGGCTTGTATCGTTGCTCACAATATCAATCACTGGTCCAGACTTAACTATTTTCAGACTGCTGTCATAAAGCTGGCATACTGGTGACTGAGGCGTTAAATAACACTCAAACAAACAAAACAAAGCATGCACTGTGACCGAACTCTACAACACACCTACCCATAAGATCCGGGGTAGAAAGGTCTTCAGCATCCCATGCTTGCCGTAAAAGGCGACTATGCTTGTTGTAAGAGGCAACTCATGGGATCGGGTGGTCAGGCTCACTGAATTGGTTGATGATGTTGATGTCATCGTATCCTTATTGGGTGCGACCGCCTCTGTTGTCTTGTGGTAGAGAGTCCGCCCAGAGAGCGTAAGGTCCGGGGTTCGATCCCCGGCCCGCGTCATACCAAAAGACGTTAAAAGATGGTACTTGTTGTTACCCTGTCTGGCGCTCGGCATTAAGGGGCTAAAACAAGGACTGATCGGCTCTGACTCAGACTACTGTGTCTGAGTGGAGTATTCATGTTAAACTGCGGCATGGTATCTCAGTAGGCTAGCACTATAAATAGGCATCAGTCTAGACAAGCACGCGCGCACGCACGCACGTCGCTATATAAGTGCAATAATCTTGGACGCGACGTTAAACCCCATTTGACCTCACCCCAATGGGGTGGATGCTCATAACATCAGTCACTGAATTGTTGGTCCAGATTCATTTATTTACAGAATGCCATCATTTAGCTGGAATATTGCTGAGTGCGGCGTTAAACAACAAATGGACAAACAAACAAACAATAACAAAGTACATTGCCTGCCATTAGACAATCTGTAGAGCAGACAACCACAAGGCTGTCAACCATGTTGCACATGTCAGCAAACAAGAAACATTGTCGGTTGTGTGACACAAGCTGAGCACTTTCGGGTTGAGCACTCAGTGGCATTTCTCTTGCTGGAACCAGGCCATGCTTTGTGTCATTGGTTAAAAATAGTGACTACATCGTGTATGGTCACATGGTATGGAGGAATGTAGTGTATGCAAACTCATGACATATTGACAATGCTATATGATTACTGTTGTAAAACAAAACCTAGACTTGTTCAGGTCAAAAATATCCTGACTTTAAAGGTCACGTTTACAATATGGATGGATTGGGCTGAGCTGAACTGACTGTGTGTTGAAAGGAGATTGTTTGTAGAGTGTTGTTTTTTACAAATTAACCTCCATAAAAGGGCCTGTTTCGAGGTCACTTACAAGAAAATCAGGCTGGACTTCTAGATTCAGAAGAAAAGAAGGCATTGTCAGTGTGTATTGATTTACTTCTGTATTGATGTACTACATGCATAAGTGATAATCTTGGTATTTTTTCTGAGTGACGATTGGATTCAGATTTCTACAAAATACATCTGCCTATGTGTCTCTTCTTGTCTTAGCATAATGGTCTCAAAACACACAAAATACAATTCAGGTTAACACAAAATATATCTGCCTATGTGTCGATTCTTGTCTTTAGCATAATGGTCTCAAAACACATAAAATACAATTCAGGTTAACACAAAATACATCTGCCAATGTGTCGATTCTTGTCTTTAGCATAATGGTCTCAAAACACACAAAATTCAATTCAGGTTAACACAAAATATTTAGGGTGTAGCCATAAAGTAGACTTGTAAAATATGATGAAGGCTTGCAACTTTGTTTGTTAACAAGCTCTCATGGCCAGTGAACTTTGGAAAATAATATATAGCCTGGCAACTATTTGTTTGCTGGGCCAAAGGGCACATAATATATCATGATATGTATCATATTGTGGCTGATTAGGATATGTATCGATACGCGAGGTACGCATATCAAGACACACCTAATAGCTTGATCAAGCTCTCATCCCTAGCACAGGATTGTAAGACTTTTCAATAAAACTTGTAACAAGAAATTGTACTTTGTTTTCAGCTATTCGACAGAGGTGTTTTTTACTCTTGACAAGAAGAATGTTGGCAAGCAGCATGATTGGCTAATTCAGGATCTCAAACAAGCCAATGAGAATCGAGCTAACTGTCCATGGGTGGTAGCCTATGGACACCGTCCAATGTACTGCTCCAATGATGATGAGGATGACTGCACCAAGCCGGACTCCCTGGTCCGAGCAGGGTAAGTTCAGACAGAGAGACAGACTCAAGACACCGCAGCGTAGGCTCACACATGTACAAACTCAGAAAGTGTGAGAGAGTAGGTGGATGAGTTAGTGGATGAGTGGGTGGATGAGTGAGTGAGAGGATGGATGAGTGAGTGAGAGGGTGGATGAGTGAGTGAGAGGGTGGATGAGTGAGTGAGTGAGTGGTAAGTCAGTGGGTGGATGAGTGAGTGAGTGGTTGGGTGAGAGGATGGATGAGTGAGTGAGTGGGTGGATAAGTGAGTGAGTGAGTGGATGAGTCAGTGGGTGGATGAGTGAGTGAGTGGATGAGTCAGTGGGTGGATGAGTCAGTGGGTGGGTGAGAGGGTGGGTGAGAGGATGGATGAGTGAGTGAGAGTGGATGAGTCAGTGGGTGGATAAGTGAGTGAGTGAGTGGATGAGTCAGTGGGTGGATGAGTCAGTGGGTGGGTGAGAGGAAGGATGAGTGAGTGAGAGGGTGGATGAGTGAGTGAGTCAGTGGATGAGTCAGTGGGTGGATGAGTCAGTGGGTGGGTGAGAGGAAGGATGAGTGAGTGAGAGGGTGGATGAGTGAGTGAGTCAGTGGATGAGTCAGTGGGTGGATGAGTCAGTGGGTGGGTGAGAGGAAGGATGAGTGAGTGAGAGGATGGATGAGTGAGCGAGTGGGTGGATGAGTGAGTGGGTGGATGGATTAGTGAGTGAATGGGTGGATGAGTGAGTCAGTGGGTGGATGAGAGTGAGTAAGTGGGTGGATGAGTGAGTCATTGGGTGGATGAGTGAGTGGGTGGATGAGTGAGTGAGTGGATGAGCATGAGTGAGTGGGTGGATGAGTGAAGGGATGGATGAATGAGTGAGTGAGTGGATGAGCGTGAGTCAGTGGGTGGATGAGTCAGTGGGTGGGTGAGAGGAAGGATGAGTGAGTGAGAGGGTGGATGAGTGAGTGAGTGGGTGAGAGGATGGATGAGTGAGCGAGTGGGTGGATGAGTGAGTGGGTGGATGGATTAGTGAGTGAATGGGTGGATGAGTGAGTCAGTGGGTGGATGAGAGTGAGTAAGTGGGTGGATGAGTGAGTCATTGGGTGGATGAGTGAGTGGGTGGATGAGTGAGTGAGTGGATGAGCATGAGTGAGTGGGTGGATGAGTGAGGGGATGGATGAATGAGTGAGTGAGTGGATGAGCGTGAGTCAGTGGGTGGATGAGTGAGTGAGTAGGTGGATTAGTGAGTAAGTGGGTGGATGTGTGAGTGGATGAGTCAGTGAGTGGATGAGTCAGTGAGTAAATGATGTACTCACTCAGATAGAACAACAGGTAAACTGGGTGAGTGCGTTACACAACAAACAAACTAAATAAAGTTACAGTATATGTATTACATGATACATGTATCTGGCCCCGTTGTCGTCAGATGTTGCACACCAGACATGTAATGTCATAGTATCATGTAATGGATAGTGTCATTGATAAGTTATACCATTCCAATAAACATCATATCATGATCCAATAAATATGCAAATAAGGTCACCATGGTGACCTAGCAGGATCATTTTTCAAGCCCCATGCATCAATGTAATGCTTGCTTGCTCAATAAACCCACTGACCAGTGTTGCCATACGTTTAGATAGGGGTTTCCTGCGTATGTGTTTCCATCTTCTTGAGGCAAGGGAGTTAACTGACTATTAAAGGCTGGAATGATGGAGTTATATTTTGGCTGGACTAACAAGTCTATGCATAGTCCAATCAAAATCAACATCCGGTTCGTAAACAGCAGTGTAGATTTCAGTCGATTGCAAGATTTGGAAATCATGTGTACCGTCAACTTAGCGCCTTCAGATATTTTCTAAATCTTTTCATATTTCTAATCAAGGTGCTCATTTGATTTGATGCAATTCACAAAGTAAGGCCCCTTTCATAACAATATGGATCTTGATTGTCGATCAGAGCATCTTCACTGGGCGCTGCCATTTTGTGGAAGCAAATGCAAGTGACATGAGAAGTTGAATCTGATTGGTCAATAGGAGAGACATGGAATGGGACATAACTCATAATAGCCGTGGGGCGCTATGATTGAACCCTGAAATTCCAGCCTTGTTCGGCAAGAGTGGAAACTTTTACAGTCAGTTACTTCACTTGCCTCGAGAAGATGAGGTGTTTCTAAATGGCTGTAAATCATTTGGCACCATAGAATAAATGGGGTGGTTCACTCAAACTCTGTCTTCATATGCAGTTTGTCATGCTAATTGATGGAGTGACATTACGTGTTACTGCATTATAAATGTCATGTTAGGAATGCAATATATTTATTATGCTCCCATAATACACCTTTATTCCTTATATGAGAAAATTCCCATTTAGAATGTCCACAAATAATCGTCTATGGATTTTTAAAACCACCATGATACAGAGAGACATTATATAATACTTATCACCGTATCTGACCCACAATGTTATATGATGTAATAGTTAACTTGAAAAATAAACTGCACATAATTTCAATTTGACGAACAAGGAATAGTGTGTAAATCACAAACATTCTTGCATTACGTAATACTTTTTTCAGATATGTTATGAAATGTATCTGACATATTCTTACTGATTTCTAGATTGGAGGACATTTTCTACCACTTTGGAGTGGACATCGTTCTACAGGCTCACGAACATTCCTACGAGCGTCTCTGGCCTCATTACAAGGGTGTGGTCATTGCCAACAACTACACCAACCCTGGGGCTCCCGTACAGCTCATCACAGGTGCAGCAGGCAGCAAACATGGGCTGGACCTCATGGCTAACAGGACAGATGGTAAGTGTAGGGAGCCTTACCACAGCAAGACAGCTTGGCTGCAAATCATTAGAGTTGTCTCCCTTGTATCAGTCTCTTTCACATGTTTTGAGCACAGTAATTTGTGAGCGGGAAATATGTTTTACAAGAAATAGTTATTTTTAGTGTAAGGACATGGTAATTTAAAAAATGTATGTGAGTTGCTTATTAGGAATGAATGCAAGTGAGTGAGTTATGGGGAATTGAACCGGGGCCTTTGGCATGATGAGCGAATGCTTGAACCACTGGGCTATCGAATTGACGCTATGCAGTTCCCATTTGAGGAATTATTTATTTTTTACGACTGTTAATTTGTGTATTCACAAAAGAAATGTGCAAAAGTCAACAAATGTTTTACTCTTTGTCTTTCAAGCTATTAATTATTCCTGCAGTAGAATTGGTCACAAGTAAATAATACATGATGAGGGAACTAGCTGAAATGGGGATCATTGGGTCTGACTGATTGTGTGTTCTTTGTTGTTTGTTTGTTTGTTGCTTAACGCAGCACTTAGCAGTATTTCAGCTATATGACAGCGTTCTGTAAATAATCGAGTCTGGGGCTGACAATCCAGTGATTGATAACATGCACACAATCCACGCAATTGGGATACGATGACATGCATGCCAGACACTCTACCACTAGACAACAGAGGCGGTCGCACCCAATAGGGATACGATGACATTCATCAACCAAGTCAGCGAGCCTGACCACCCGATCCCATTAGTCACCTCTTACGACAAGACAACAGAGGCGGTCGCACCCAATAGGGATACGATGACATTCATCAACCAAGTCAGCGAGCCTGACCACCCGATCCCATTAGTCACCTCTTACGACAAGCATACTCACCTGTTGCAGCAAGCATGAGTTGCTGAAGACCTATGCTCTGCCTGTATCTTCACGGGTCTCTTGTGTGTTATCCTGCTATCCATGACATGATGCTTGTGCTGTCAACCCCTGCTTTTCCAGCAACTGATATTGTGAGCAACACCAAGGCTGACCACCAGATCCATTAAGTCGCCTCTTACAAACAGCAAAGGTTGCTATTTACCAGTTCTAACCTAGAGTCCCCACAGGATCATTTTGTTACAGACTATCCTTATTAATCTACAATAGGCCCGTGAAGATCCGGGGTAGAATAGGTCTTCAGCAACCCATGCTTGCCGTAAAAGGCGACTAACGGGATCGGTTTGTCAGGCTCACTGACTTGGTTGATGCATGTCATCGATCCAAATTGCGTGGATCGATGTTCATGATGTCAATCACTGGATTGTCTGGTCCAGACTCCATTATTTACAGACCGCCGTCATATAACTGGAATATTGCTGAGTGTGGCGTTAAACAACAAACCAAACCAAAACCTAATCTGCAATATCGCTGTTATCAGCATTGTACTTGTGATATTTGTCTGTAGGAGGATTCTGATCTTGAATCAAGCATCAGTTCAGTCACTAATCAGTTTCATGTGCCTCATTCCAGATCCTTGGTCTGCCTTCAGACGAGACAATGGCTCCCTCAACAGTTATGGCCGCCTGGAGATCGTCAACTCAACCCATGCATTCTGGGAGCAGAAGTCTGCCATGAACCACGAGCTCATGGACTCAATCTGGATCGTGCAAGAAAACCATGGACCCTTCAAGACAGAGGAACTGCCGGCTAACCTCACAAAAGAAATTGAAGAAACCATTGAGGCCACCGGCGGCAAACCGACCTTTTCAAAAACTGAGACGTCAAATACGGACTCTGCAATTGTTGAAGATGACAATAACCAACGTATGGCTATCGGAATTGCATTTGGTTCTCTGGCTGCTGTTGTGCTCATTGTTGTCATAGCTGTGAAGAAATGTCGGCGGAAAAGGAAGGCTGTCCGGAGGTGGGAACAGATGGATTTTAATTACGGGAAAAAGTTCTACTCCCCTGCCAAAGATCTAGACAAAGAGTTAGATAATGATTTTGAGATCGATATGAGTGACGGAACTCTTCCCACGACCAAATTGCTGTCTGATGACTAGCCAATACTTTCCAAAATATGCATAATGTCAAATTGGATTACTAACTTTGTGATGCCTTGTGTTACCATGGTTACAGACTTGGATATTGTAAGGCTGGATTTTCACCATTCCATTGTGAGAAAACATTTTGTGCCTTATTCACCATCATTCCATGCTTTCTCCAAATGACTGTTTTATGTTGTGATGATGTTTTATTGTGTTGTGCATAATATCCATGACATATGCATTGGGTTGTCGTCCTCCACATGCTGTGTTGGTGACATGAGTGGGTCATGACGCTGCTCACAGTATTCCACAAGTGATAGTTTCAAGGACACTTTCAAAGACGTGGCATAATTGTATAACATGTATGAGGTACTTTGTTATTTTTGTTATTTAAAAACCTGATTTCTGTAAGATGTAAGATAATGCATACCATGTGACCTGCACCGCGAATTTCATATTTATAAAACTCATTTCTGTTGTACAATAATGCTTACTGTATGACCTGTATTGCAAGTGCTTGTATGGAGTGAGTGAGTGAATGAGTATTGTTTAAGGCAACTTTGCTCCCTATGTCCTACACTTTTTGCATGACCCTCCCTGAAAAGGCAAAATGCAAAATCACCTTATGTTTTATTATTAAATATCCATTTTTTCATGACCCTTCCCAAGTACAGTCAAGTCTCGTTAATCCGACACTCGTTAATCTGACAATCAGCTTAATCTCACACTAATGATGGAAACCGATTAAATCAGTGCTATTTAGACCCGTTAATCCGACAGTCTCGCACTCCGACTCCAACACACCTAATTTGCAACGAATTACCGAAATCACTCATTAATCAGTCTTGTTAATCCGACACAGTGATCAGCGTACTCTGTGGTCATCTGCCCGGTAGCCAAACTGTGAAAAAAGTACAGAATTTTCTATATTATTATGGTTCTGGAATGTGAGTTTCATAAGATTCAGGTTTTAAATTTTAAGATCTTACTTGTTTACATATTTTCTATTCAATTCCATACAAGTACAGTCCATCCATTTCCTTTAGGAAAAGTAAATCAAAGAGGCACTCTTCTTCCCCTTATATCTTCAAAGTCTGTTTTTTAAATATTTAAATATGGTAGGGAGTTTATGTTCAATGTTGCCCTGTTGATCAGTGAAAGTAATTAGATATAACGGCCTTGAAGTCGTGTAATGTGACGTATGCGAAGTGAGCAAATAGATGAAGTTTATTGGATGAGTGCCCTTGAATGGTCAGTTGTATGATGTGGTCTGTTAGATACAAGTATAAGACTAGCCTTAGATCATGCTCATGCCCTTCAAGACTGTAACTACATGTATGTGGCTGTGCCTTGATACAGAGACAGGTACAGAAGGTGTCAGGTTAAACCGTCACACACAGATCAGACCCAGATGAATTCTGCTGTAAAATTATCAAATTCTGCAGTAAAATTACCAAAATTCGGTACTTAAAATTACTAAATTCTGCTGTAAATTCTGCAATAAAATCATAACTATTTTCCCTTCAATAACTACCGGTAATACGAACTCTTTTTTTTCTTTAAAAATTATAATCTATTGCATTTAGACCATGTAGACACTTCAGGTTTGGTTTAACATGTAAACTTCCTGTAGCCTTTCTGTTCCGAAAGATTTTGAAAAAGTGAGAATTTTTGTTTTCAATTTTTATTTCTATTGTAGGATTCATATTTCTATTTTTTAATTGCATTATAAATGCTTTCAAGTGCAAAATTTAATAGAAAAGCATGAAAATAATGAAAATTAGTGTATTGATTCATAAAAATGGAATTCATCTGGGACTGACGGACATGTATCAACAGGTATACCGTGTCAGTCCGAGTGTCAGTTGGGAGATAATGGGAGGAGCCAGTGTGGAAGCATGGCCTGTGTGTGATAAAGGAGGTGTAGCAGTTTGAATTATTGAAGGGGCGGTCAGGTAGCCTAGTGGTTAAAGCGTTCGCTCGTCATGCCAAATGCCCGGGTTCGATTCCCGACATAGGTACAATGTGTGAAGCCCATTTCTGGTGTCCCCCGCCGTGATATTGCTGGAATATTGCTAAAAGCGGCGTAAAACCATACTCACTCACTCACTCACTTGTATTATTGAAAAGTCTTCCATGTGTCATACATTCACTGATGTTCTGTTCTTTCTGTGCAATCATTTTGTACAGCATTACAGGACTTGACAGTTGGTTGTCAAATATTTCTTGTTCCTTGCTGTAAGATTACAGGGATTTATCTGGTCCTGCTCAGAGGCTGGTATTTCCCAATTCCTACAATTTTACAAAAGTAAAAAACATTAAAAATCAAATTTATGATGTATATCACTATTTGTTCCCAAGTTTGTGCACATATGGATTCAATGGAGTGTGTCCCCATTCTAGAAGCATGCTGATCATGTTTGCATTTAAAAATCGTTTGAAGACATGTTTACCGCAAAATAACAATTATTTGACTTGTTAATGTACCATGTCTAGCATCTGTTACATTTCAAGTGCACCAACCCTTCACCCCAACCCCTTCATCCCTACAGGCTACCCTTTTAAGAAAGCTAAATCTTTGTGGATCTTGGTTATGTACTGGAATTCCTGCAGTGGTATTTCAGTGGATGTTCAAAGAATTTTAGAGTATTGAAATTTCTATGGTTGCAATTGATTGATATTTTTCAGGTTTGATTTCAGCTTGTTTACTGAAGCTGTATTCGTTCTGCTATCCCATACTATGTTTGTTGGAAAAATGATAAAACAAGTAGGGAGGGTAGGAATATATTCGGGAATATGTTTCATGGTAGTATTCAAATTCATCTCAAGCCGCAGCAAATGACAGTTAAAAATCCATATTTGAATTAAAAATTCTCAATTCCTTTGAATTGACAAAAATAAGAACATTGAAAAAATATTTTCCCAATTTTCCTGCCAAGGGCACTTAGTTTGGAACTCAGGAGTCCGTATCTAAAAATAGACGCCCTCATGCATATTCATGACCATCTCGCGTTTGGAGATGGTCATGAATATGCATGAGGGCGTCTATTTTTAGATACGGACTCCTGTGGTTTGGAATCAAAGATAAATCCCTGCATTCACAGTGGTGCGTTCATTAATGCCTAAACTCTATTTTGTAGACTGTGACTGTAAGATGACTACCTTTGCCATCTGTGTTTAGTGGTGATAATAATTATTTTTTTATTAAAGAAGTAGTAGACCGGCTTCATTTGAGGAATAAAAGTTTTAGATTTTGCTGGTGGAATGTATAAGTCATTTGAGATCATTGTTTGTAGATCATTGGCCTCACAACTGCACAGGGTCACTGGGTAGCCTAGTGGTTAAAGCGTTTGCTCGTCATGCCAAAGACCTGGGTTCAATTCCCCTCATCAGAACAATTTTCGAAGCCCATTTCTGGTGTCCACCGCCATGATATTGCTTGAATATTGCTAAAAAGTGGAGTGAAACCATACTCACTCACTCACTATCTCACTCATAACTAGACGCTGCTCATGATGTCAATCACTGGGTCACTGGTCCAGACTCGATTATTTTACAGACCGCCGTCATATAGCTGGAATATTGCTGAGTGCGGCGTTAAACAACAAACAAACAAACAAACAAACAAAACTAGACGCTGAGTGAAACAATTTGTACTCAAAAACCTACCACTGCAGGTATTCTCAATAACCCATCACTGCAGGTATTCTCAATACCCATCACTGTAGGTATTCTCAATAACCCATCACTGCAGGTACTCTCAATAACCCATCACTGCAGGTATTCTCAATAACCTATCACTGCAGGTATTCTCAATAACCCATCACTGCAGGTATTCTCAATAACTCATCACGGCAGGTATTCTCAATACCCATCACTGTAGGTATTCTCAATAACCCATCACTGCAGGTACTCTCAATAACCTATCACTGCAGGTATTCTCAATAACCCATCACTGCAGGTATTCTCAATAACCCATCACTGTAGGTATTCTCAATACCCATCACTCTCAATAACCCATCACTGCAGGTACTCTCAATAACCTATCACTGCAGGTATTCTCAATTACCCATCACTGCAGGTATTCTCAATAACCCATCACTGTGGGTATTCTCAATAATCCATCACTGCAGGTATTCTCAATAACCCATCACTGCAGGTACTCTCAATAACCCATCACTGTGTGTATTCTCAATAACCCATCACTGCAGGTATTCTCAATAACCCATCACTGTTGGTATTCTCAATAACCCATCTCTGTGGGTATTTTCAATAACCCATCACTGTGGGATTTTCTCAATAACCCATCACTGCAGGTATTCTCAATAACCCATCACTGTGGGTATTCTCAATAACCCATCACTGCAGGTATTCTCAATAACCCATCACTGCAGGTATTCTCAATAACACATCACTGTGGGTATTCTCAATAACCCATCTCTGTGGGTATTCTCAATAACCCATCTCTGAGGGTATTCTCTAGACTAACATCTAGTCTCTGAAATGAACACATCCTACAGTGGCTAAATTATTGTTATAAAACATAATAAGGAGCTGAGAGACTTACATTCTGAACACATGTATACCTGACATTTTCAAAAATTATATAGGTGCAATATGTTTCTTAAATATGATTAATAAGAACAGGGTTACAGTGTTATGTAACAATATTCATTATGGGAAGTAGTGTATTTTGGTATTAAAATTTTAGAGCCAGCTTTAGAAGCAATTTAGTCCAGTACATATCTTCAGGTTTCAAGTTTTGTGTTTTAAGAATTGTGGTGCTTTTTAAGTTAGTATTTAAAGGGATTCAAGTTTACTTGTTAAAGAAATTCACTCATGTGGGGAGTCAAACCTGGTCCTTAGGCGTGATGAGCAAACACTTTAACCACTACCCCACCAGCCTGTTTCAGTGAGACACAAGATATATGAATGAAGATTCACAAGGAATACAGAAGATGAAATCCGCTTGTTTCGTGTCTCTATTCACATTAGTTACAATTTACCGTATTTCCTATAATAAGTGTCAGCCTCTGATAAAGAGGACAGTCTGGGTTTTTTATAAATGAGATTTGATAATGGCCTGTTGCCCCATTTTACAAAGCGATCATAGCACTGTGACTATTGCAACCCCTATTCCTAACATAAGCTTATTACAGCCGTAGCCCTACAATCGCTTTGTGAAACGGAGCTCTGTCCCCTACGGCTAATGATTCCTCCCCATTACATCAGACTGTTTGAATACTTTGAACATATTTACCCGTTTTATCCAAATGGTACATCACCGAAGCTTGTTTACTATTGTATGTGTGTAGTAAAGATACATCTCACTGATTTTCATCCATAGGAATTAACGAGAATGTTTTGACAATTATAAGGCTCTTGTTTGTTTTAATGTCTTCCACTGGGTAGCTGTGTATGAAGCATTTGAGAATGTCATCTGTTCATTGCTGTATGTCCCAAGAAATTTCTGTTATGCGTGTTTTCTGTAAATTTTCGTTAATATTGACAGAGCCATGTTGTTTGAATATCTGCTGTTTATTTAATGCAATGATTCATTCCATGCCTATAGATTACACGCCCTGATTATTTGAAATATGTGTTGTCAAGGTGGAAATTAGAAGGTTGGAATTGTGAAGATGGTACACATGATAGTCATGTTGTTAGGTTGATACATGCCATAGTCGTGTTGTGAAACGTGTTGACTCCATGGTCGTGTTGTGAAACGTGTTGACTCCATGGTCGTGTTGTGAAACGTGTTGACTCCATGGTCTTGTTGTGAAATGCGTTCACTCCATGGTCGTGTTGTGAAACGTGTTGACTCCATGGTCTTGTTGTGAAATGCGTTCACTCCATGGTCGTGTTGTGAAACGTGTTGACTCCATGGTCGTGTTGTGAAACGTGTTGACTCCATGGTCTTGTTGTGAAATGCGTTCACTCCATGGTCGTGTTGTGAAACGTGTTGACTCCATGGTCGTGTTGTGAAATGCGTTCACTCCATGGTCGTGTTGTGAAACGTGTTGACTCCATGGTCTTGTTGTGAAATGCGTTCACTCCATGGTCGTGTTGTGAAACGTGTTGACTCCATGGTCTTGTTGTGAAATGCGTTCACTCCATGGTCGTGTTGTGAAACGTGTTGACTCCATGGTCGTGTTGTGAAACGTGTTGACTCCATGGTCTTGTTGTGAAATGCGTTCACTCCATGGTCGTGTTGTGAAACGTGTTGACTCCATGGTCGTGTTGTGAAATGCGTTCACTCCATGGTCGTGTTGTGAAACGTGTTCACTCCATGGCCGTGTTGTGAAATGCGTTCACTCCATGGTCGTGTTGTGAAACGCGTTCACTCCATGGTTGTGTTGTGAAACGTGTTCACTCCATGGTCGTGTTGTGAAACGTGTTCACTCCATGGTTGTGTTGTGAAACGTGTTCACTCCATGGTCGTGTTGTGAAACGTGTTGACTCCATGGTCGTGTTGTGAAATGCGTTCACTCCATGGTCGTGTTGTGAAACGTGTTCACTCCATGGCCGTGTTGTGAAATGCGTTCACTCCATGGTCGTGTTGTGAAACGTGTTCACTCCATGGTCGTGTTGTGAAACGTGTTCACTCCATGGTCGTGTTGTGAAACGTGTTCACTCCATGGTTGTGTTGTGAAACGGGTTCACTCCATGGTCGTGTTGTGAAACGTGTTGACTCCATGGTCGTGTTGTGAAATGCGTTCACTCCATGGTCGTGTTGTGAAACGTGTTCACTCCATGGCCGTGTTGTGAAATGCGTTCACTCCATGGTCGTGTTGTGAAACGTGTTCACTCCATGGTTGTGTTGTGAAACATGTTCACTCCATGGTCGTGTTGTGAAACGTGTTCACTCCATGGTCGTGTTGTGAAACGTGTTCACTCCATGGTTGTGTTGTGAAACGTGTTCACTCCATGGTTGTGTTGTGAAACGTGTTCACTCCATGGTCCCGTTGTGAAGGCGGAACAGACCAAGGTCATGTTGTGAAGGTGGAACAGACCAAGGTCATGTTGTTAAGATGGAGCACTCTATGGTCGTGTTGTGAAACGTGTTCACTCCATGGTCATGTTGTCAAGGTGTAACAGACCTAGGTCATGTTGTGAACAGACCTATGTTATGTTGTCAAGATTGAACACTCTGTGGTCCTGTTGTCAAGGTGGAACACTATGTGGTCATGTTGTCAAGGTGGAACACTCTATGGTCCTGTTGTCAAGGTGGAACACTCCGTGGTCATGTTGTCAAGGTGGAACACTCTGTGACCATATCATATTCCCTATTGCATGACACCCAGTACTGTAGTCACAATAATTGCATCTTGCAACATTCCTTGCAAATGGATTTTACCTAAAACTGAAGACTGGACACTTGATTGTTTCCAGAGTGTCTGTAAATATATTCATGTGTGTTGTGCAATAAAACAAATTTTTCATCGATTAATACCAAAATTACATCTCATTAATCAGATTCCACCTTATATTTCATACCAGAGTGATTGAAAACCAGGGAATGTTTGGTGTGTACAACATATCAATTAATAATGATTGAGTGAGTGAATGTTGTTTAATTCCGGAGTCAGCAATATAATAGCTATATCACCTTGTGCATCAGATATGGGATATGGGATAGAACTTGGTTTTCAGCAATCCATGCTTTCTGTAAAAGGCCACTAACAGGATCGGGTGGTCAGGCTCGCTGACGTGGTTGATGCATGTCATCGTATCCCAATTGCGTGGATCAATGCTCATGATGTCAATCACTCGATTGTCTGGTCCAAAATTGATTTTTTTTTTTTACAGACCACCGTCATATAGCTGGAATATTGCTGAGTGCAGCGTTAAACAACATACAAGCATTAGTCTGCTATTGTACTGGTGACCTATTCAGTGCTGAAATATATCTAAGAAGAAGCATATGGGAATCGATTTTACCCAAACACACACACTCACGTAAATACATACAAGTAGTTTCTTAGACAATATCAGATTTAGTCGTCCTGTAGCAGATTCAAACAAAGAAATGCATCGCAAATATTAGGTTATGACGCTCACAAACATAACGCACACGCACGTAAATACTTGTACGCATACACACATATAGACAACGCACATTAACACGCCATACATCTTAGTTCAAGGATATGTCAAGGTGAGTCCATTGTCCACTCTGTACCCATGAGTGAGATAGGATCATGACCCGCATCCTTCCGGATCTTCCCCCGACATCAAGCTGACACACCGTGATAAAACTAGAATATTGTTCAAAGAGGCGTGAAACCCAACACTCACTCTTCTTCATAACCCCAGCGCATATCCATAGCATATTCTCAAAGGATAATGTAGCTTTGATCATATATACCCATTGACAGCAGGACATTAATAATAATAAAAATAATATCACTCATGATGAAAACAAGGCATTCCACAGTTTTCTTAAAGAAGCCAAGTATGTTGGACATACTCTCATGTCAGTGTTGATTTTGTTGATGGTTCTGTACTACTGGACGGTATTCAAATGAGTGTCAACCAAGGGACGTGCCATATCAAATCGGCCCAGACTCGGCCCAGTTTTATGAGAGGCTATCTGAACGACCACTGCATCCAGTTTATGTGGAATGTGTTGAGAGTCCTTCGCATGGATGAAGTCGACTGTCCTGAAAAGTGAAAAAGAAGGCTTTCCGTTTGCTGCTCAAGGTTCTACTACACCAAATCAGAACCAGTTTGGACAGTGCGAGTGCGGTTTTCGTAGGGAGCCTTCAGTGTAGATCGAGAGATATCTGCAGGCTGTGATTGGAGCATATTCTGTAAGATTTTTATGTCTTTCAAATGTATCTCCATCCAGTTATTAAAACTGACCATGTTTTTCTATATTTAGTACTGTCTTTTTCAACATGATGACTTATGCTGAATGTGACCACAGCTATTTTCAAGTAGGTGACATTTGGTGCGAAACTGGGGGTGGTGTGTTTAGCTTCCGGTACTCGGAAAAGGAGCTGACTAAGCTAGTAATTTTTATTTTTTTTATTGCTGCTCTAAGGCCAAACTGTGCACACACATACAGGTAATAGCTGTTGAATGCTTAGTTATTTAAAAAAAAATCATAACGTTACTATAGAAGTCTATGGGAAAACATTTGGTTGTGTGTAACCTCAAGACCAGTCACTTCCAGCTCGAAACCGTCAATGTGTGATTTTGCATCAAAATGTAAATATGAAATGTAGAATATGCCATGTTTGTTTGTTTGCTAGTTTGCTTGTTTGTTGTTTAACGCCGCACTCAGCAATATTCCAGCTATATGACTGCGGTCTGTAAATATTGTCAATGAGACTGTCCAACACATTGTCAACTTTGGCACAAACACAGTATCTTAAGCGACATGATGGTGTAGCTCGATCATTTTATTACTGTTTTCGCCATGCTTGTGGTTTTGATACAGAGGTCCATCCATGGTACGACCCGGAATATGTAGAGGGCGTCATGGAAAATGATAAATTTAATTCTTTTTGGAATAGGCCCGTTTACAGCCTCAGACGTACTCAAGCCAACAAACCTTGTCCTTTTTGATAAATCCAATGAAATCATTTATATCAGTGATTTTTCTGTCTCTTTTTACACTAATGTGATTGACAAGATTCAGGAAAAGCATGGCAAGTATGCGGACATCGCTTTCGAAATGTCACGCTTGCATCCCAGGTACCAAGTTGTCCGCCTCTCCATTGTTCTCGGTGCCTTAGGTTTGGTACCTCCCGATCTGTTGACTGACATTGGGAGACTATCCGCGTTTGCTACTTGGCCCTTCTGACAATCTGACAAAATGTTCGAACAAACAATTCACATATCTTGACTGACCAGTGAAGCGTGATATTATCTAAATGCATATTTCAGTGAAAGAGTAAATCACGCCTTGATTCTATCCCCTTTTAATTAATGGACACGTGAAGCCATATTGAAAACCAATTTTTATGCTCTTTACTCAAAATGTAATGACGTTTAGTGTATGTGGAGTGTAGAAGTCGGATTCAACATATACATTCAGTTTTTCGTTGCATTATATTTTGACATTTGTATTTTAATCACACTCTCAAATTTGCATTTTCGGGTGTGTAAATACCATCCTCTGTCGGATTGTGGAAGCTATATTTTGTCATGTATACTTCTTCATTTGATGGCATCATACTTTGTTCAAATCATTCGAATTTCATTGTTTATTTTATTTTGCCGAAAACATTAAGAGATGGAGATTTCACAAAAAGGTTTTGTTCTCAAGAATCACAAAGTTTAGATAGCAGAACCTTGATCAGAGAGCATGATAATGACAAACGAAAGATTCAAGGCATAATGGTAATGTAATGTCGGTAGACACAGGTGAATTTGCCAAAACAAGTCTTTTCTCTACTTTGCTTAGAAATATTCAAAGAAGAGAGCAAGAATAGTGGAGTCATAAAAGTGTATGAATTGGTTTCCCTGTGAACATGCGGCATGAGTTCGGGAATTGTTTTGCCTACATAGTTGGATCAATAGTACATGCATTGCTTTGCTGATATAGTTTGCTCATGAGTGAAGGAACTGTTTTGCCTATATAGCTGTGTCGTGAGTGCAGAAACTTCATTGTCCATATTAGGTCATGAGGGCAGTATTTGACCCCTAGATGTGGCAGAGCAGGAGCTGCTGAAGAGTCAATCTAATGTTTGTTTGTTTGTTTAACGCCGCACTCAGCACAATTCCAGCTATATGACGGCGGTCTGTAAATAATACCGTATTGGCCAGACAATCCAGTGATTGACATCATGAACATCGATCCGCGCAAATGAGATAGGATGACATGTATCAACCAAGTCAGCGAGTCTGACCATCCAATCTCGTTAGTCGCCTCTTATGACAAGAATAGTCACTTTTTACGGCAAGTGTGGGTTCCTGAAGACCTATTCTACCCCGGATCTGTCGATCTCATGATCCACGGTACTGGCTTTCCCATGCTCCAGTACAAGTACACATTGTTCCGCCTTGCTTTCCTATTCATGTTTGTGGGGCCGTCGGGTAGCCTAGTGGTTAAAGCGTTCGCTCGTCACGCCGAAGACCCGGGTTCGATTCCCGACATGGGTACATTGTGTGAAGCCCATTTCTGGTGTACCCCGCCGTGATATTGCTGGAATATTGCTAAAAACTGCGTAAAACCATACTCACTCACTCACTAATTATGTTTTTCGCTGTCGAGGTATGAGGCTACTGTAATTTCAGCAACAGTGCCCCAGGGAATAAAGATAACAGTCTCTGAGCAAATTTTATTTGAATATAAGTTTGAAAGAAATATTTTTATAAAACAAGTTATGATAAGACCATGTGTTTTCTGTAAAATATGTTATTTATGAGAACAAAAAAACATATTCCCAAATAATAAACAAAACGGCATGGTCAAAGTGCAAAAGTTAATGTCAAACAAAAACTAGTCTAAAGTATAAACATATAAAACACAGTGTACTGTGCACAGGAAGGCAGTAAATACCTCGGATGCGATTGGTTTAGCAACCTGTACTTATTATGCTGCCTGAGACGTCACACAAGAAAAAATACAAATATATACAAAATATACAATTTTGTATAGTTGGTATTTCCAAAACTATACAATTTTGTATATATGGTTAGATTTTACCACTGCTTCATTCAATTTCTTCACCTCTTATAGAAGGTGTCACATAATGTGGTTGCAAAGTTTACTAATGATACCGAACAGTATTATTATTGCATGTGACAATAATGCTTTAATATTATTTTCATTATGACAACTATATAATGTTATGAAATAATTTGTATTTCGTTATGTCATCTTTGTTTACACAATTTTCTTCTTTCGGGACATTGGAGCAGTCATAATATTCATAACATCATAAATATTAAGATTACAGGCAAATTTAACAACTTTAGTACTCCATGAACTTTTACATAGTAACCATTTTCTTCATCAAAGCGTTACAAGTACTGTTATTAAATCTTGGGGTAGTCTAAAAACATTAGCATGTCATGTAACAAACGGGGAGGAGAGACCCATGTCTCCATTAGTGGCTATACTGGAGGTACCGTTACTAACACCAAGAAATAATTTACAGGCTCTATTTTGGATTAGATCGTTTTATCCTCATATACCAGAGCCATAGAACATTACCGGCTCAACAAGACTTTCATACAGTTTCATAAAAACATCATAAGACATACACCCAACAGAATAAGACAAAGCATGGCTGGCAGAATTGTACAACTCTTTCACAGTTTCACATATCTAGATGCTCGTCAACCCGTAGTCCCAGATAACGATATGATTCTACATAGACCAGTGTTTGCCCAGCGTAGAGGAATGAAACCGATGATCTCGGTTGTGATTTCTAAAATGAATTACGTTTGTCTTATTCATATTCACTGACAGTTGCCAACGTGTTGACCATTCATGCAGTACATTAAGCATGGATTGTAATGAACATTCATTGGGGGCAGTTAATGCAATATCGGCAGCATACATTAAAATGGAGAGCATAGTCTCATCAACAAGTACGCCACAATTGAGATTGTTAATAGCCAGGTCGTTAACATACACAGAAAATATAGCTGGGGATAATTTACAGCCTTGCTTTACACCATGTTAAACAGTAAAACGTACTGTAAGAAATTCTCCTACACGTGCAGTACAATTGACATCGACATACAATCGACTGGATAGCATTCAATATCTTTTCTCGAACTCCAATATTCCTCAGCTTCGCTATAAACGGTGTCGAAGTTTTTTTTTTACATCAACAAATGTAACAAAGGTTGATTGTTTTGTTTTTTTCTATACTGAACTAAAGACGTTTCAACCTATAAATGATCAATACAGTCTCATTTGGATCTAAAATCATTTTGCTTATCAGCTATGATATTGTCCTTTTCAAGCCACTCAGTCTTTAATTGAGTACATACGCATATACTTGTTAGGAATAGATGTTACAATGATACCAAAGGGTTTCTAAAATCCTTCATACCGCTCTTAGGAATAGGATGGATATATCGCTGTTCCACATAGCTGGTACAGTTCCATTTACAAAGCAATAGTTAATAATTCTGTACAACAAATCAACTGAACTTACATTTTTTTAACACTTCTGCAGGAATATCATCCACACCTGTAGCCTTTCCATCCTTAAGTCTAAAGACTAAAGACTAATGGGATGTCTGGGAGTGAACCTTACATGTTTATCATTTATCCCATCCATTTCTTGAACTAGCTGCTCCGAATTGAGCCATAATTCATTCACCACAGTCCTAAGGGGAAATTCAAACATATCCACCTATAATTCACGACTACTGCAATCTTGTCAAATAACATGTGCTTGACATCAGGTCGATTTTATTGATATCTTGTAATGACTGTTGGAATATTATCTATGCATTATCCTGTCTAAAAATCTAGATATATTTACAATATCATGTATGCATTTTTGAATCATTGTATTCCGGAGTGTTCTTCATATAAACTTCTTGACCAATCCGCTTCATGTACATTTTCAGAAAAACAGAACATAACATGGGAATACCGTTCGAATTGAGCCTCGCTCAATTTCCCTGTGCGCTGTGATTTTTTATTTATTTTTTTTAAATGAAAATTTTACAGGGACTAGCTGTGCTACCACAATACTTGTGTTAATTAATATTGATAACATTGAATGTTAAACCATTTTTACAGTTTTGTCTAATTTTAGCGATAATGAAAACTGAGTAGAGATAAGATATATTGATGAACAACGTCTTTATTACAGTAAGGAGCGACGCTTAGGTGTATGTTGTAACACCATTATCAAGCAAGTGATGTTGTTCATCCACAGATCTTATCCTCTCTCAATACTCCAACTTCTAAATTCCTCGCAAAGAAGATAATGATACTTGTTTTGAATCTTGCCATCGTACAAAATATTCTTCGCACAGTTTTCAAGAAACAATGTAATATTAATATCATATTACGCCATCAATATATGTTGTGCAATATTTGAGAGGTTGGCGCCTGTCGGGACGGTGTGAGATGCTAAAACTGTTCTTGTATAGTCTAGTATCCTTTGGCTAATGACAGCTACCACTGTTTATTCCCATTCAAGTTGCTAACGGTGTTTCATCTAAACAGTATTATGGGAACGGAAATTAAAACATTACTTCATTCGTTATGCTACCATTTTTGAATATATGTCCATGAGATTAATCTGTTCATTTTTCCGTATTTTTATTACGGAACTTATAGCTTTGTGTGGCATAAACGGTCAAATAGTAAGATGACTACAATTAAAGGGCATTAATAACGAGAGGCTGTTCACATATATGTACATCATATATGTATCACGCGAATCATTTCTGATTTTACTCGACGTAAGAGCTAGAAACATTACCTACTTCCGGCGCAGCGGTTCAAGATGTTGGCGCTATCTAGATTGGGTCCCTGACACATGCAGCTCTATTTGATGGGTGTATTGTACTTAATAAGCTGAACTTTTATAAATCTATTTTTTGCAAATATATACTAGTCACTCCAACTAATCATTGTTACTAAAATATATAGGATTGTTGTCGATAACGTGTCCATTCGTATGTCTGTTTTACGTCTGTTTTACTAATTATTGACACTAAGAAACTCGTACAATTTTTTAAATCGTTACTAAACGTGTTGTACTTGTCTACATCTTAATTGAAAAGTGGGAGAAAAGTTGCTTACTGTATTTTGCCGCCTTTGATGGTTCTGATGATCAAGATGACAACGTCAAAATCGTAGTAATCAGGAGTCGATAAGGATTCAGGAGTTTTTGAATTGATGCAGAATCAAGGTTCATCCCTTCCGACCCGTTGGGGGTTATTATAGGCCTAATAGTGCACCACGTGATTTATGTCCAGGCCCCCGTGACATGCAGTTGTCATGTGACATGTAATTAACTAATTGAATTGCAAAAACAATTCCGACAGCAAATAACCGCATCAACAACAACAATGCGTGGATGCAAAGAAAGAAACCATTTTAAACCCCTTTCTGTATATTTGTATTTGTATTCCTTTCTGAAACTATCATTCTACAAACAGTTGTGTTCACCGCCCATTGTGATACTTCTACTTAAGAAAATAAAAAACGATGTTTATTTAGTCATTTGACATGCGTTCATTGTAAACAAAGATTAGTGTGAAAGGATTACTAAGTTTGTCATCCAGTATAATGCAATTCCTCGATTAGCCTAATTAGAACAGAGTTTGTAATTAGTCATATCCTGACTCCAGTTAACCAAGGCAGCTACATCAGTTGTGATATATGAATTTGTGGAATCTTAATAAATAAACGACCGCCTGTCGCAAAATTGCATTCGAACATTGAACACGCACAGTCGCAGATTTTCCTTTCGTACATTTGAGGGTGAACGTGAACGAAGCCGTGCAAGATGCTTTACAGCGATTTGTCTTCAGAACACATATTGAGCTCAAGTAAGTTTATTAATGATGATATTTTCATTGATTCATAGATATGGCGATCATGAGCGCTGACACTATACAGTCAAGTCTCGTTAATCCGACACTCGTCAATCCGACACTCGGCTTTATCCGACACAAATGATGGGAACCGATTGATTCAGCGCTATTTAGTCCCGTTAATCCTACATTCTCGCAGTCTGACTCCAACACACCTAATTTGCAACGAATTACCGAAATCACTCATTAATCAGTCTCGTTAATCCGACACAGTGGTCAGCGTACTCCGTGGTCATCTGCCCGCGAGTACACAACTCCGTGTTTTGACACGCACTGGCTGCAGAGATTAACTTTAACAATTAACACTAGATGCCGGGATCATAAAGAATTTCAAGCTTTATTATAAGAAACAAATGAAATTACACCTCAACTAAATTCAACCTACCAAATTATAACGCAGTGAGAACCGTCAGGTCCAAAACCATCCCAGGCAGAACAGGAGGAGGTCTAATCATCTACGTTAGAGAGGATATAAACTACGAGGAAGTTAAAGTAAACACTCCTAATCTAGAAGCTAATGGAATCCAAGTCACCATCAATAACCAAAAAATAAAAATCATTAACATCTATCACTCAACACTAAAACCAATTAAAGATACAGACCTAGATATCCTTTACCAATTAGGAAATAAATCAACCATCTTCCTAGGAGACTTCAATGCCCATCATCCTACCTGGGGCATTGCAGATAAACTAGACAACCATGGACAACTAATATCAGAGTGGATCGAAAAAAATGACCTAATACTATTAAACAATAACCAACCAACTAGATACGACAAAACCCACCACACCATGTCGGCTATCGACTTAACAATATGTACGCCAGACTTAGCACAAAGTCTGATGTGGGACGTCCACCCAGTACCTCTAGGCAGCCACCACTTTCCCATAAATATAACCCTAGGAAATATAAAAATACCAAATCAAACCCCTAAACAGGAACCTAAATTTCAGTACAAAAACGCCAACTGGGACCAATTCCAAGAATTATGCAACGAAGCTAATCTAAACGATTTAGAAACAACAGACCCCGAAACATTCTGTCAAAACCTAACTAACTTCATAATCAACGCAGCCAAATCCGCAATCCCCTTCAAATCATCCAACCCAGGAAAACCCACTGTCCCTTGGTGGAATGAGGAAATAGAGCTAACTAGACTAAAACGCAAATCAGCTTTCAACAGAGCTAAACGAGACCCCTCTCATCTCAAAACAGCTCATGAACTAAACCACCAAGTCCAAAACCTAGTTAAAACTGCTAAAACCAAAAACTGGAAAAAATTCTGTGAGGAGCTAAACCACCACACCGACGCTAGGAAGGTGTGGCGCAAAATTCACGCCATCCGAGGCATCAAACGGCACAAAAAAAGCCCCAATATAAACAACTCAACAAACCCCACCCAAAAGGCCAACAACCTAGCCAAACACTTCTCTAAAGTTAGTAGCAACAGTAACTTCAGTAAGAAATTCCAAGATAAACTAAATAAAGAAATAAAATTCTCCAAAGAAATCAGACAAGACAACCTAGAAATAAATCAACCTTACACCATAGAAGAACTAAATCACGTACTAAACAATAGAAAAAAAGGAACAGCCCCTGGCCTAGACCTCACCTCTTACCAAATAATCAAACACTTACCTACCAAACTACTCCAAACTTTACTTAAACTATACAACCTAGTTTACCTAAACGGACAGGTCCCATCCTCATGGAAGGAAGCTCTAGTAATCCCAATACCTAAACCAAATAAACCAGCAGATCAGGCAAACTCCTATAGGCCAATATCCCTAACCTCAAATCTCTGCAAAATAATGGAACTTATGACTAAAAATAGGCTACAGCACTACCTAGATCATGATAACGATAATGATTAATGATTAAGTCAAATGTAAATCGTTTACGTCAATACGACGGCGATCGTAGATAACCGATTCTGAACCAGATAAACCGTTGATTGATATTTTAAGTCCCACGTACGCCTTCGGGATTATTCTTCCTCGGGCATCTACTCATAACACATACTCATAGGCATACAGTAAACTACGGTTATAACGAACACGCTTATAACGAACTAACGGATATAACGAACTAACTTTTTAGTCCCGACTATATGCTATAGTTATGCTGTGCATATGCTGATAACGAATTACGGTTATAACGAACTAAAATTGGTAGTCCCTTTGAGTTCGTTATAACCGTAGTTTACTGTAGTTCAAAAGTAGGGAAACAGTACATATTAAATTACTGGATACTCTCGTATTTCCTTTGCCTCAGGTTGTATCATATCTAAATATGATGAGTGAGCGACTTAACATTTTACATCGCATCGGCAATATTGCGATGAAAACAAGTTAATTATTTGATAATACCTATCGACAAGGGACAGTAAACCAGTATACCACTGGCAACCAAAGCTAGAGCACCTTACTGGGGATCACACAAAATATGATGAGGTGATTCTAATTCACATTCTGCCCAGCATTATAATGTTCTTATCACAAGATATGTAGAAATGTCTTGTAAATAGAGCTTTGAAAGGTAAAGGAACTTTGAGATGTGACATTTTCCTTCACCCAAATACATGTTCAAACATCATAATCTTCTGTTATACCCTGAGTGGTTTGTTGCATACTGGGGAGTTGGGATTTTACCTAAAAATATATTTTCCCAGAAAATCCTTAAAACCACAATTATGCTACAGACTGTTGAGATAAAGAGACATACAGATACATAGACGATGCCAGGATTAGAAAGGTTTCAAACTAAACACTACAATTTGTGGTCAGTTGAAACACGAGAAACATTTTGATTCTACTGGCGTGATAATTTTGTCTTGAGATCCAAGAGGACCTCCCTTGGATTCTTGCTTTGCAGTTTTGAAACACAGTGTCGATACGAAAGCAGCGTTTTCTTGCCTTCTCTGCACGTTTGGCAGTGTGGGTCGTCATCCATGTGTGTCAGCCAAGCGATTCGGACATGCTTCTCTTTCAAATCGTTGGATAAACTTTTCAAACATTTGCTGATATCTTGATTGCTTCCACCAGTAAAGATACTACGAAGGTTAGTTAATAGGGGCGTCTTTTTTGGCTCCCCAACATAAATTATGTTTCCCTTCCATAGGATTGTAAACACGCCGCGTTGAGATTTTGTAAGGTTTCTTTGAAGATGAGAATATGTGACGCCAGAATCCTCAAATAACGTCTTACAACGTTTCTGAAACATACAAGTAAAATATTTAAAGTGCAGCTGGTAGAAACCTGTTCAATCAAGTCAAGTTCATCCCCCATTCCATAGGTTTGTGGTGCAACAACAAATAACGTACGTATGCACGTGCTTATGTTCAAAGCCTCGGTCGCAGCTAAGATCAAACGTTAGTTAATCATGTTCTCCATCCATCACTGATGCTTACACAATATAAGCCATATAGGAAAGGTTACATTAAAATGAAACCTCACGAATTACAAACTAACTTCTAAAACTTTCTAAAGCTAAAGAGCTAAGGTAACGGGTTGAAATGATACCTGGATTACTGTACGTGATGTATCCTGGTGATTTTGTGAGCCAGTGGGCGACTCATTTCGCCTGGAGGTACTTGGCTGGGCTTGGGCATTACACCACCCGTCCGGTCTTCTCGACGGACCGCGTGGTGGTCGGTCATCACTCCGCCCCGGAGATCCTGCCCCCTCCTCCCCTGGTTCCATCTTGATGATGGGTTTAGGTCCAGGTACCACCCTCTCATGATGACCCGCCGGACACCCGCAATATGTACAGTTGTGTCTGAGGACAGGCTGGGAATACTGAGAACATTCCTCGGGGCATTCTCGACACTTACCCCGAACAATTCCTCTGTTGTCTCGGTTGATGTCCGTGAACATTGCCATGTCTGAAACGTGAACAAATACAATAGGTTTTGCTATTTGTTAGACAGCACGACTCGGAATCGTACAGAAAAAAACAGTTTTAAAAAAGCCGCCATCATGTAGCTGGACTATAACTGGGCTGAATGCAGCTTTAAACAACAAATAACATTAATACTTAAATTTACCACAAACAATATTGTCATTTAGAAATGTAACCGAGTAAAATGCTGTTTCAACCAGTCAGCAATGTTATGGCGATAACTGCCTGTGGCCTGTTCCCAATCATGAATGAGTGAGTGAGTCAGTATGGCTTTACGCCGCTTTTAGCAATATTCCAGCAATATCACGGCGGGGGACACCAGAAATGGGCTTCGTACATTGTACCCATGTCGGGAATCGAACCCGGGTCTTCGGCGTGACGAGCGAACACTTTAACCACTAGGCTACCCGACCGCCCCGTTCCCAATCATGCCAGGTCAAGACAAACTAATGGACGACAGCATGCATAATGAATCACACAATATGACTGCCATGACGAAATCACCAATGTTACACAATATAACACCCTTATCCCTCACCTTTCGTAAATGTATGTGTTCGAGACAGGTTATTGTTTGGTCACTTATTATTATATAAAAAATATCCTTCTTTTAAACCAATACAAATGGTCTGTCGTTCGCTCGTCACGTTGAAGCTCTTTGTTCGATTCCCCACATGGGTACAATGTGTGGAGCCTATTTCTGGTGTCTATCGCCGTGATATTGCTAAAAGCGACGTTTAACTCAATTCACTCACTCACTCTGATAAGCTGACTGGCTATATTAATAACCAAAAATGTCAGTAAACGTGACGACAACCCTTTTGATGCCATGTCAAATATATGACCTCAATAATAACGAAGTTAATCTTCCTTTTGACGATATCTTTATTCAGCTCAACTAAGTCATATGAAAATAATAGGTGAGACAAAGAAACAGTAATTAACCACAACTTATGCAAATGAGAATACATTTGCCCTATTCAAATTCAAAATGTTCGCAAAGTATCCTTTACTCCGATTTTTCGATTTCATGAATATCCATTTTGTGATCATCTGGGCCAGATTCAGAACAAGAACCGACTCGCTTTGGTCGCGCGATGAAGGGATGGCCCTGCATGTTGTACAGTGGCTTTCTTCCTTCCATTCTTTCAAAACACTTAAGGTAGCTACAATTACAGGCATGTTTGATGGTAATATCAAGCCAAAACACTGTTATAAATTCCTCTTTGTATTCTTCGTGTAGGGTGCTTAGATATGCTCCAATGTGTTGTTTGTCCATTCCTTTGAAATGTCTCCTCAGTGCTCTTCTGATTGATGCACTTTCGGCATTGCCCACATAGATTGTCCGACCATTCTCGGCAATTTTGTATGAGCCATTTAGTGCTTCTGAGGGTTCAGTTCCGTAGGCAAGATGGCTCATTCTAAGACGCCAGCAAGATGGTTTCTACAAACAAAGCAAACACTGTGTTTATGACCAAAGCATGTCTGGGTGACTGGGCAAGATGATTCACAGTGTTGGCTCCGAATTAATAACTCATCACTTGAAAGGTCCTCAAAAAAGTATTCCGAAACAAAATAGTATTTTTTTCATCATCTTCATCATCATCAAACATCATATATCCACCACCAACACCATGATCATCATCTTCAAAAATTATCATCACACGTCGAAGCTTTATAGCTTTTGTATGATATGTCATAAAAACATCTATTACAAAGTACCAATACATACCGGTCCATTGAAAGGTGCTGGAGCTACGAACACATTGGATGCCTTTATCGGTGTCCTCTTTGGGGTACTGATCATAGACGCTGTTCGTTTAGGAACTGGACTTAACTGTTCTTTGTCTGGCTTCGCATCTATTGATCTTGGTGCTGCAGTAGAGTGACTATTACCTTCACTAGATCCGATATCTCCATCCTTTCCTGTCATTGGTGATACTCGCTTTGTGATGACTGCACCTCTATCATGGAGCTTGACGAAATGTCCATGCGCCAAGTCAGACGGTGCGCGGACTTCCCACGTCTCTTCGAAACATACGTCAGGGGCTCCTTGTTCAAACGCCTCTCCCGTGTGCATCAGACTAACATCCACCGTGGCAGCATCCATTGTGTTCTGAACAGATGATTCACCGGTCTTGCTGGTTGGTGTCCCACCAGTTGGTTGTGGTTGATATTTGACGTCGTGAAGGTCTATCTCGTGGTTGCAGTGGTAACATTTCTCTCCCTCTGGTGGCTTCACGTATTCTCTACATCCACAGTGGCGACATCCTCCTCGCCCGATGAATGACATCGTCGACAAATTGCGTCTATGGATATGAACAATCTCATAATTACACCTTGCAATCAATTAAAAAAAACAATTGAAAACAGAGACATTGGACATACACCTTCACAAGCCAACACTTAAAGATCACTGTATTCATCGGTCACAAAACTGCATCTTTGAAATATTCAATGTCACTTTGAGACTGTAGCATATACTGGCCTGTATTATAATAACAATAGCAACAGCAACAACAACAATTATAATAATGATGATAATAATAAACAGTAACAATATCAGTGGTATTTGAATGAAACAAAACAGGTTTATCATTACCTGTATGAATGACTGTCCAAATGTAATCGTCTTCTTTGAGGACTGAATGAAAAAGGGGGAATCGTGTCAGACTCTTACCTCGGAAAATTCCAACCGTATGACACTTAAAATCACCAATCGCTTTGAAAAAAATATATAATGACCGGTCGCTAACTCGTTTGGGGTCGAACTGAATCTTGTCCGTGAAAAACTGCACAAAACAGACTTGCTTCCCTTGCACTGATGTGTAATACAATTCGGAGACGGATCCCGAATTATGAAATAAGTGAGCAAACCACAGTTCACAATCGTTGCTGAGTGCAGCGTTAAACAACAACATGCCACCGATTTTTAGGAAATTCGCTTCAGACGCCAACTCAGAGTTGCCTCCCCTGCATTGTCAAAGTTTATTCAATGTCTGTTTTGGGGTAACACAGAGCAATGCAAGTGGCTTCGAGGTGAGGTCACCCTACTAGTGTTTCAAAAGTAAAGAGTGTCATGTAGAGAAGAAAACACATAACAGGACATGTTCACACACACACACACACACACACACACACCATTAATCTGCCGAGGCAACTGTTCTACCTCCCTATGTTCTCCTACCTCTATCACTCACACTGTCGCGGATACCAACAAACGTCGATAACAGCAATTATACATAAACACTGAATAAACTTGTCTTACCTGTGTGGAACGTGAAGGGTGTGTCTGGGTGCTGATGTCCGAATCTAGGATGTCTGCACACTGCGTCACCTACTCCCGGCGTTTTCACTGTGCATCTGACCTACATACTGGCGTCAGTGTTCTGGGAAATCTATTTTCACTTTCGTTGTGGTAAATTCTTAGTAGTGCAGCCCTGCATAACGATAACTCATTCAGTCTTCAACGGAGGTATGCCGTCAACAACAGCCACCCTGTGATATAAGGGTCGAGGGAAAAACGCCGATCGTGCGTGTATGCATGGAGATGTTGCAAGACTTGTGCTTAGTTGATGGGGGTTTTAACGTCGCATTCAAGACTATTGCGATTATCTAAAGCGACACGTATGCATATGTGCGTGGGTGTGCGTGCATGTGTGTGTGCGTGCGTGCGCGCGCTTGTACTAGTCCGGACTAATGCCGTATAATAGTGCGCTAGCCCACAGGGTGCTAGTCAGGGTAACAACAAGTACCATCTTTTAACGGGGTCGACCTTCCGTCTCCGGGCAGACGCTCTATCCACCACGGAGGCAGGTGGCAAGTGTTTTGACAAACAAAAAGGGGAATATCTCACATCGCCAAGGTTAGTTGAGTATCTTATACAGATACAGGACTATACTGAGTTTAGTAACTCATAACCCGCCATTAATATAAGACATAAATAATTAATCCTCAATAGGTGTGGTTAAAAGCCTCAAAATAAAAACGAAATTATCTTGACCATATAATTTGGACAGACAAAAGTTAAAGTAATATAACTATTTCATGTTATGGTTGAGAAAACACCTATTTGTGTGCGCCACGACACACGCCCTGATACAGAGCATTTAGACTAACATCTTGTCTCTGAAATGAACATATCGTACAGAAAAAACAGTTGTTCAATTATCTTAATAAAAATATAATAAAGGGGAGCCCAGAGACTCTCTTCATTTTCAGATACTGCAGTCGTGTAATACCAATTTTATGAAACTCGTGAATAGTTCTATTTTATGTGTGTACTAAAGATACATCTAACTGATTTTAATCCATAGGAATTCACGAGAATGTTTTGACAATTATAAGGCTCTTGTTTGTTTTAATGTCTACCACTGGGTAGCTGTGTATGAAGCATTTGGGAATGTTATGCATATTTTCTGTAAATTTTCGTTAATATTGACAGCCATCTTGTTGAATATCTGCTGTTTATTTAATGCAATGATTCATTCATTGCCTATAGACTACACGCCCTGATTATGTGAAATATGTGAAGTGTTGTCAAGGTGGAAATTACAAGATTGTATTGTGAAGATGGTACACATGATAGTCATGTTGTTAGGTTGATACATGCCATAGTCGTGTTGTGAAACGTGTTGACTCCATGGTCGTGTTGTGAAACGTGTTGACTCCATGGTCGTGTTGTGAAACGTGTTCACTCCATGGTCGTGTTGTGAAACGTATTCACTCGATGGTCATGTTGTGAAACATGTTCACTCCATGGTCGTGTTGTGAAACGTGTTCACTCGATGGACGTGTTGTTAAACGTATTCACTCCATGGTCGTGTTGTGAAACGTGTTCACTCCATGGTCGTGTTGTGAAATGTGTCCACTCCATGGTAGTGTTGTCAAAGTAGAACACACCATTGTTGTGTTGTGAAACGTGTTCGCTCCATGTTCATGTTGTGAAACACTCCATGGTAGTGTTGTCAAAGTAGAACACTCCATGGTAGTGTTGTCAAAGCGGAACACTCCATGGTCGTGTTGTAAAACGTGTTCGCTCCATGGTCGTGTTGTCAAGATGGAACAGACCAAGGTCGTGTTGTCAAGGTGGAACACTCCATGGTCACGTTGTCAAAGTGGAACACTCCATGGTCATGTTGTCAAGTTGGAACACTCCATGGTCGTGTTGTCAAGGTGGAACACTCCATGGTCACGTTGTCAAGGTGGAACACTCCATGGTCACGTTGTCAAGGTGGAACACTCCATGGTCACGTTGTCAAGGTGGAACACTCCATGGTCACGTTGTCAAGGTGGAACACTCCATGGTCACGTTGTCAAGGTGGAACACTCCATGGTCACGTTGTCAAGGTGGAACACTCCATGGACACGTTGTCAAGGTGGAACACTCCATGGACACGTTGTCAAGGTGGAACAGACAAAGGTCATGTTGTCAAGGTGGAACAGACCAAGGTCATGTTGTGAAGGTGGAACATGCCATGGTCGTGTTGTCAAGATGGCACACTCTAGGGTCGTGTTGTGAAACGTGTTCACTCGATTGTCATGTTGTCAAGTTGGAACAGGCCGAGGTCGTGTTGTGAAGGTGGAACAGACCAAGGTCATGTTGTGAAGGTTGAACAGACCTAGGTCATGTTGTCAAGATGAAACCCTCTAGGGTCTTGTTGTCAAGGTGGAACACTCCATGGTCGCATTGTCAAGGTGGAACAGACCAAGGTCATGTTGTGAAGGTTGAACAGACCTAGGTCATGTTGTCAAGATGAAACCCTCTAGGGTCGTGTTGTCAAGGTGGAACCCTCCATGGTCATGTTGTCAAGGTGGAACAGGCCCAGGTAGTGTATGAAGGTGGAACAGACGTAGGTCATGTTGTCAAGGTGAAACACTCCATGGTCGCGTTGTGAAGGTGGAACAGACCAAGGTCATGTTGTGAAGGTGGAACAGACCTAGGTCATGTTGTCAAGATGGAGCACTCTATGGTCGTGTTGTGAAACCTGTTCACTCCATGGTCATGTTGTCAAGGTGAAACAGAGACCTAGGTCATGTTGTGAACAGACCTACGTTATGTTGTCAAGATTGAACACTCTATGGTCCTGTTGTCAAGGTGGAACACTCCATGGTCACGTTGTCAAGGTGGAACATGCCATGGTTGTGTTCTCAAGGTGGAACACTCCATGGTTGTGTTGTCGAGATGGAACACTCTGTGACCATGTCATATTCCCTATTGCATGACACCCAGTACTGTAGTCACAATCATTACGTCTTGCAACATTTTTGAAAATTGCAAATGGATTTTACCTAAAATTGAAGACTGGACACTTGATTGTTCCCGAAGTGTCTGTAAATATATTCATGCGTGTTGTGCAATAAAACAAATTTTTCATCGATTAATACCAAAATTACTACTTATTAATCAGATTCCACCTTATATTTCATACCAGAGTGATTGGAAACCAGGGAATGTTTGGTGTGTACAACATATCAATTAATAATGATTGAGTGAGTGAATGTTGTTTAATTCCATTGTCAGCAATATAATAGCTAAATCACCTTGTGCATCATCTGGACAATGGTCCACTCCTTACAGGAACAATCAACCAGTTCACACATGGTAATAACCGAATCCCTTCATTAGTCTGGGTACCCATGAAGATCTGGGATAGAATTTGGTTTTCAGCAACCCATGCTTTCCGTAAAAGGCAACTTACAGGATCGGGTTGTCAGGCTCGCTGACTTGGTTGATGCATTCATGCAAATTGCGTGGATCAATGCTCATGATGTCAATCACTGGATTGTCTGGTCCAAATTTATTTATTTTTTTACAGACCGCCGCCATATAGCTGTAATATTGCTGAGTGCAGCGTAAAACAACAAAGAAGCATTTGTCTGCTATTGTACTGGTGACATATTCAATGCTGAAATATATCTAAGAAGAAGTATAGGGATTGGCTTTTACCCAAACACACACACACACACACACACACACACACACACACACACACACACAAAAAAGCTCACACAAGCACACAAAAGCTCACACAAGCACACAAAAGCTCACACAAGCACACACACACACACACACACACACACACACAAAAGCTCAAACAAGCACACACAGACACAGAAACACACACACACCCCTTCCTAAATTGGTTGATCCAGAAAGTTCTTTCTTAGAGAATTTCCGATTAATTTGTCCTGTAGCGGATTCAAACAAAACCTGCATCGCAAATATTAGGTTCTGACGCGCACTTACATAACGCACACGCAGGTAAATACATGTACGCATTCAAACATACATACACGCACATAAACACGCCATACATGTTATTTCAAAGATATGTCAAGGTGAGTCCAACTAAACTATACACATGAGTGAGATAGGATCAAGACCTATATCACTCCGGGTTTTCCTCCTACATCAAGCTGACACACCGTGATAAAACTAGAATATTGTTCAAAGAGGCGTGAAACCCAACACTCTCTCTTCTTCATAACCACAGCGCATATCCATAGCATATTCTCAAAGGATAATGTAGCTTTGATCATATATACCCACCGACAGCAGGACATCAATAATAATAAAAATAATATTAATAAAATTGTATTGTGCACTTTTGCACTCATTTATTTGTCTTGTGAAGCATATCAAGACTCGTGATGAAAACAAGGCATTCCACAGTTTTCTTAAACGAGCTAAGTATGTAGGACATAATCTCAATGTCGGTGTTGACTTTGTTGATGGTTCTGTACTGCTTGACGGTACAGAAATAAGTGTGAACCAAGCGAAGTGCCATATCAAAATCAGTTTTTCAAGGAGAGGCTATCTGAACGACCACTGCATCGTGTTTATGTGCAATGTGTTGAGAAGATCAACCCTGCAGAGTCCTTCGCTTGGATGAAGTCGGCTGGCCTGAAATGTGAAACAGAAGGCTGCTCAAGACCAGTCACTTCCCACTCGAAACCGTCAATGTGTGATTTTGCATCAAAATGTAAATATACTCAACAACAAAAGTTCCTGTGACACCAATATTTTAGTGTCTTTTTCAAACAAGTAAAGTTTGGTTTTCAATATTGTAGTACATGTATGGAATCATGTCACAAAAATGCAACTGCTACAGAAAAGCATGCATTCCATGCAAAAGTTGACTTTTATGCAAGCCCCATGCATTTCACTACCCAAGAATAAGTATAAAAACATGTGCGTTAACGGGATTCCATATGCATTGTTTAGCATCGTGCTGACAACAACCACTCAGAAAACAACAAAATTACGCAATTCTTCAACATTACGAAATGCCACGCCTGTCCCAAAATGAGCGTCTGCGAGCCATTGGTATGCTTGAAGCAGGATCGAGTCAACGTGATGTTGTAAGACAATTTAACATCCACAGAAACACCATTTGGTGTTTATGGCAACGTTGGCAACAGACGAATGTAGTCAGAGACCATCCTCGGAGTGGCAGGCCACGCGTAACCAATAATCGACAGACAACTGGATTCGAACAACACACCTACGAAATCGATTCCAGCCAGCAACAGTGACTGCAAGAAGCATCCCTGGCCTTCGAAGAATATCTTTCAAGCTCGTCTACAGTGGTGCAGACAGCGTCTACGCTGGACGGCCATTCAGTGGGGACAAGTTCTATTCACTGACGAGTCTCGTTTTCCCCTCAGCCACAGCGATGGACGGATTCGAGTGTACCGACGTCGAGGTGAACGTTACGTCAATCATTGTGGCATGGAAGAAGATCGGTTCGGGGGCGGCAGAGTTATGGTATGGGGTGTGATTACAGCAAGACAGAGGACCCGTTTGATAGTGGTAGAGGGAAATCTCAATGGACGGTGCTACTGCGACCAGATCTTCGGCCCTGTTGTTCTATCGTTTTTGCGTCGTCATGGCTCAGGCATTACCTTTCAACATGACAACGCCCGGCCTCAATTGCTCGACTTGTTCAGGATTCTCTTCAACAATAACAACGCGAATGTCATCCCCTGGCCAGCTCGCTCCCCTGATCTCTCACCAACCGAGCACATGTTGGATGAGATGGATCGGCGCCTTCGACGTCAACCACGTGTTCCACAGACACTCCAGGAACTTCGAAACATGCTCCAGCAGATATGGACAGATATCCCACAGGACTTTGTGCGACGCCTGGTCCATTCCATGAGACGAAGATGTGTTGCTTGCATCGTGCATGTTCATGGGTTTTTTTTTATGAAATCACGCATTTTCTGAAGTCAGTATGGCAAATTAAACCATTTGAACTTACAGGAGTCCTTTATCTGTTGCAAACCGAAATTGTTTCAGATTTAGTAAAAAACATAACCTTGCATTAAATCTTATTCAATGTCACAAGACCTTTTGTTGTTCAGTATATGAAATGTAGAATATGCAACGTTTGTTTGTTTGCTAGTTTGCTTGTTTGTTGTTTAACATCGCACTCAGCAATATTCCAGCTATATGACGGCGGTCTGTAAATATAGAATACAGTATCTTAAGTTCGATTATTTTCTTACCGTCTTCGCAATGCTTGTGGTTTTGATACACCCATGGTACGACCCGGAATATGTAGAGGGCGGGTCATGGAAAAAGATAAATACAAAATTCTTTGGAATAGGTCCGTTCACAGCCTCAGACGTATCCAAGCCAACAAACCTGATCTTGTCCTTTTTGATAAATCCAATCAAATCATTTCTATCATTGACGTTAATGTGATTGACAGGATTCAGGAAAAACATGGCAAATATGCGGACCTCGCTTTCGGAATGTCACGTTTGCATCCCAAGTACCAAGTTGTCCGACTCGGGTTTTCTACCAGGAATACAGCCCTTCTTACATTCTGGGTAATGCAGAAGGCTGCAGTGTTGGGGAGTCTTCACGTTCTCCAAAAGTTCTGGGTGGGTTTGACTAGGCAGCGCTTCCTGGGAGAAGTCCCATTCGCTATCTGGGCTGCGTGTAGAGGGAGCAAGGGCCCTGAGCTGATGATGAGCTTAACCAGCCTGACTGTGCCAGGATCACCCAAACCCTCTTTGCTGCATTTTTCATATTAATCTGTGAATAATAATGAATGATCTAACAAACAAATCACATGTCTTGACTGACTAGTGAAGCGTGATGTTATCTAAATGCATATTTCGGTCACGCCCTGATTTTATCCCTTTTAAATTACTGGACACGTAAAGCCATATTGAAAACCCATTTGTATGCTCTTTACTCAAAAAGTAATGACGTTTAGAGTGTAGTAGTCGGATTCAACAAAAACATATATATCCCGTTTTTCGTTATATTATATATTTTGACATTTGCATTTTCGGGTGTGTAAATACCATCCTCTGTCGGATTGTGGAAGCGATATTTTGGCATGTATGCTTCTTCATTTGATGACATCATACTTTCAAATCATTCGAATTTCATTTATTTTATTTTGCCGAAAACATTAAAAGAAGCAAATGTCACCAAAAAGGTTTTGTTCACAAGAACCACGAGGTTTAGATAGCTGAACCTTTGGGAGCATGATAATGACAAACGAAAAATTCAAGGCATAATGAAATGCATTTAACTTCGGTGGACACAGGCTACATAGTTGGATCAATAGTACATGCATTGCTTTGCTGATATAGTTTGCTCATGAGTGAAGGAACTGTTTTGCCTATATGGCTGTGTCGTGAGTACAGAAACTTCACTGCCCATATAAGGTCATGAGGGCAGTATTTGACCCCTAGATGTCGATGCAGAGCAGAAGCTGCTGAAGAGTCAATCTAATGTTTGTTTGTTTGTTTGTTTGTTTAACGCCGCACTCAGCACAATTCCAGCTATATGACGGCGGTCTGTAAATAATAGCGTATGGGCCAGACCTTTTTACGGCAAGCATGGGTTGCTGAAGACCTTTTCTACCCCGGATCTGTCGATCTCATGATCCACGGTACTGGCTTTCCCATGCTCCAGTACAAGTACACATTGTTCCGCCTTGCTTTCCTATTCATGTTTGTGGGGCGGTCGGGTAGCCTAGTGGTTAAAGCGTTCGCTCTTCACGCCGAAGACCCGGGTTCGATTCCCAACATGGGTACAATGTGTGTAGCCCATTTCTGGTGTCCCTCGCCGTGATATTGCTTGAATATTGCTAAAAACTGCGTAAAACCATACTCACTCACTCACTAATTATGTTTGTCTTTTTCGCTGTCGAAGTATGAGGCTACTGTAATTTCAGCAACAGTGCCCCCAGGAATAAAGATGACAGTCTCCGAGCAAATTTTATTTGAATATAAGTTTGAAAGAAATATGTTTTATAAAACAAGTTATGATAAGACCATGTGTTTTCTGTAAAATATGTTATTTATGAGAACAAAAAAAACATATGCAAAGTGCAAAAGATAATGTCAAACATATACTAGTCTAAAGTATAAACATATAAAACACAGCATACTGTGTACAGGAAGGCAGTAAATACCTCGGATGCGATTGTTTAGCAACCTGTACTTATTATGCTGCCTGAGACGTCATGATAACGATAATGATTAAGTCAAAAGTAAATCGTATACGTCAATATGACGGCGGTCGTAGATAACCGATTCAGAACCAGATGAACCAGTGATTGATATTTTAAGTCCCACGTACGCCTTCGGGATTATTCGCGTTCGGGCATCTGCTCATAACACATACTCACAGGCATAGTTCAAAAGTAGGGGAACAGTACATATTAAATTACTGGATACTCTCGTATTTCCTTTGCCTCAGGTTTTATCATATATAAAATTTTACATCGCATCGGCAATATTGCAGCCATATTGCGATGAAAACAAGTTAATTATTTTTAATTTCCTGTCGACAAAGAACAGTAAAACAGTATACCACGGGCAACCAAAGCTAGGCCACCTAAATGGGGATCACACAAAATATGATGAGGTGATTCTAATTCACATTCTGCCCAGCATTATAATGTTCTTATCACAAGATATGTAGAAATGTCTTGTAAATAGAGCTTTGAAAGGTAAAGGAACTTTGAGATGTGACATTTTCCTTCACCCAAATACATGTTCAAACATCATAATCTTCTGCTATACCCTGAGTGGTTTGTTGCATACTGGGGAGTTGGGATTTTACCCAAAAATATATTTTCCCAGAAAATCCTTAAAACTACAATTATGCTACAGACTGTTGAGATAAAGTGACATACAAATACATAGACGATGCCAGGATTAGAAAGGTTTCAAACTAAACACTACAATTTGTGGTCAGTTGAAACACGAGAAACATTTTGCTTCTAATGGCGTGAAAATTTTGTCTTGAGATCCAAGAGGACCTCCCTTGGATTCTTGCTTTGCAGTTTTGAAACACACTGTCGATACGAAAGCAGCGTTTTCTTGCCTTCTCTGCACGTTTGGCAGTGTGGGTCGTCATCCATGTGTGTCAGCCAAGCGATTCGGACATGCTTCTCTTTCAAATCGTTGGGTAAACTTTTCAAACATTTGCCGATATCTTGAGTGCTTCCACCAGTAAAGATACTACGAAGGTTAGTTAATAGGGGCGTCTTCTTTGGCTCCCCAACATAAATTATTTTTCCCTTCCATAGGATTGTAAACACGCCGCGTTGAGTTTTTGTAAGTTTCTCTTGAAGATAAGAATATGTGACGCCAGCATCCCCAAATAACGTCTTACAACGTTTCTGAAACATACAAGTTAAATATTAAAAGTGCAGCTGATAGAAACCTGTTCAATCAAGTCAATTTCATCCCCCATTCCATAGGTTTGTGGTGTAACAACAAATAACCTACGTATGCACGTGCTTATGTTCAAAGCCTCGGTCGCAGCTAAGATCAAACGTTAGTTAATCATGTTCTCCATCCATCACTGATGCTTACACAATATAAGCCATATAGGAAAGGTTACATTAAAATGAAACCTCACGAATGACAAACTAACTTCTAAAACTTTCTAAGTTAACGGGTTGAAATGATACCTGGATTACTGTACGTGATGTATCCTGGTGATTTCGTGAGCCAGTGGGCGACTCATTTCGCCTGGAGGTACTTGGCTGGGCTCTTCTCGACGGACCGGGTGGTGGTCGGTCATCACTCCGCCCCGGAGATCCTGCCCCCTCCTCCCCTGGTTCTATCTTGATGATGAGTTCAGGTCGAGGTTCCACCCTCTCATGATGACCCGCCGGACACCCGCAATATGTACAGTTGTGTCTGAGGACAGGTAGGGAATACTGAGGACAGTCCTCGGGGCAGTCTCGACACCTACCCCGAACAACTCCGTACTTGTCTCGGTTGATGTCCGTGAAAATTGTCATGTCTGAAACGTGAACAAATACAATAGGTTTTGCTATTTGTTAGACAGCACGACTCGGAATAGTACAGAAAAAAAACAGTTTTAAAAAAACCGCCATCATGTAGCTGGACTATAACTGGGCTGAATGCAGCTTTAAACAACAAATAACATTAATACTTAAATTTACCACAAACAATATTGTCATTTAGAAATGTAACCGAGTAAAATGATGTTTCAACCAGTCAGCAATATTATGGCGATAACTGCCTGTGGCCTGTTCCCAATCATGAATGAGTGAGTGAGTGAGTATGGCTTTACGCCGCTTTTAGCAATATTCCAGCAATATCACGGCGGGGGACATAAGAAATGGGCTTCGCGAATCGAACCCGGGTCTTCGGCGTGACGAGCGAACGCTTAAACCACTAGGCTACCCGACCGCCCCGTTCCCAATCATGCCAGGTCAAGACAAACTAATGGACGACAGCATGCATAATGAATCACACAATATGACTGCCATGACGAAATCACCAATGTTACACAATATAACACCCTTATCCCTCACCTTTTGTAAGTGTATGTGTTCGAGACAGGTTATTGTTTTGGTCACTTATTATTATATAAAAAATATCCTTATTATTGCCCTATCTTTTAAACCAATACAAATGGTCTGTCGTTCGCTCGTCACGTTGAAGCTCTTTGTTCGATTCCCCACATGGGTACAATGTGTGGAGCCTATTTCTGGTGTCTATCGCCGTGATATTGCTAAAAGCGACGTTTAACTCAATTCACTCACTCACTCTGATAAGCTGACTGGCTATATTAATAACCAAAATTGTCAGTAAACGTGACGACAACCCTTTTGATGCCATGTCAAATATATGACCTCAATAATAACGAAGTTAATCTTCCTTTTGACGATATCTTTATTCAGCTCAACTAAGTCATATGAAAATAATAGGTGAGACAAAGAAACAGTAATTAACCACAACTTATGCAAATGAGAATACATTTGCCCTATTCAAATTCAAAATGTTCGCAAAGTATCCTTTACTCCGATTTTTCGATTTCATGAGTATCCATTTTGTGATCATCTGGGCCAGATTCAGAACAAGAACCGACTCGCTTTGGTCGCGCGATGAAGGCATGGCCCTGCATGTTGTACAGTGGCTTTCTTCCTTCCATTCTTTCAAAACACTTAAGGTAGCTACAATTACAGGCATGTTTGATGTTAATATCAAGCCAAAACACTGTTATAAATTCCTCTTTGTATTCTTCGTGTAGGGTGCTTAGATATGCTCCAATGTGTTGTTTGTCCATTCCTTTGAAATGTCTCCTCAGTGCTCTTCTGATTGATGCACTTTCGGCATTGCCCACATAGATTGTCCGACCATTCTCGGCAATTTTGTATGAGCCATTTAGTGCTTCTGAGGGTTCAGTTCCGTAGGCAAGATGGCTCATTCTAAGACGCCAGCAAGATGGTTTCTACAAACAAAGCAAACACTGTGTTTATGACCAAGACATGTTTGGGTGACTGGGCAAGATGATTCACAGTGTTGGCTCCGAATTAAGGACTCATCACTTGAAAGGTCCTCAAAAAAGTATTCCGAAACAAAATAGTATTTTTTTCATCATCTTCATCATCATCAAACATCATATATCCACCACCAACACCATGATCATCATCTTCAAAGATTATCATCACACGTCGAAGCTTTATAGCTTTTGTATGATATGTCATAAAAACATCTATTACAAAGTACCAATACCTACCGGTCCATTGAAAGGTGCTGGAGCTACGAACACATTGGATGCCTTTATCGGTGTCCTCTTTGGGGTACTGATCATAGACGCTGTTCGTTTAGGAACTGGACTTAACTGTTCTTTGTCTGGCTTCGCATCTATTGATCTTGGTGCTGCAGTAGAGTGACTATTACCTTCACTAGATCCGATATTTCCATCCTTTCCTGTCATTGGTGATACTCGCTTTGTGATGACTGCACCTCTATCATGGGGCTTGACGAAATGTCCATGCGCCAAGTCAGACGGTGCGCGGACTTCCCACGTCTCTTCGAAACATACGTCAGGGGCTCCTTGTTCAAACGCCTCTCCCGTGTGCATCAGACTAACATCCACCGTGGCAGCATCCATTGTGTTCTGAACAGATGATTCACCGGTCTTGCTGGTTGGTGTCCCACCAGTTGGTTGTGGTTGATATTTGACGACGTGAAGGTCCATCTCGTGGTTGCAGTGGTAACATTTCTCTCCCTCTGGTGGCTTCACGTATTCTCTACATCCACAGTGGCGACATCCGCCTCGCCCGATGAATGACATCGTCGACGAATTGCGTCTATGGATATGAACACATGAACAATCTCATAATTACACCTTGCAATCAATTAAAAAAATCAATTGAAAACAGAGACATTGGACATACACCTTCACAAGCCAACATTTAAAGATCGCTGTATTCATCGGTCACAAAACTGCATCTTTGAAATATTCAATGTAACTTTGAGACTGTAGCATATACTGGCCTGTATTATAATAACAATAGCAACAGCAACAACAACAATTATAATAATGATGATAATAATAAACAGTAACAATATCAGTGGTATTTGAATGAAACAAAATAGGTTTATCATTACCTGTATGAATGACTGTCCAAATGTAATCGTCTTCTTTGAGGACTGAATGAAAAAGGGGGAATCGCGTCTGACTCTTACCTCGGAAAATTCCAACCGTATGACACTTAAAATCACCAATCGCTTTGAAAAAAATATATAATGACCGGTCGCTAACTCGTTTGGGGTCGAACTGAATCTTGTCCGTGAAAAACTGCACAAAACAGACATGCTTCCCTTGCACTGATGTGTAATACAATTCGGAGACGGATCCCGAATTATGAAATAAGTGAGCAAACCACAGTTCACAATCGTTGCTGAGTGCAGCGTTAAACAACAACATGCCACCGATTTTTAGGAAATTCGCTTCAGACGCCAACTCAGAGTTGCCTCCCCTGCATTGTCAAAGTTTATTCAATGTCTGTTTTGGGGTAACACAGAGCAATGCAAGTGGCTTCGAGGTGAGGTCACCCTACTAGTGTTTCAAAAGTAAAGAGTGTCATGTAGAGAACACACACACACACACACACAAACACACAAACACACACACAAACACACACACACACACACACACACACACACACACACACACACACACACACACACACACACACACACACACACACACACACACACACACACACCATTAATCTGCCGGGGCAACTGTTCTACCTCCCTATGTTCTACCTCCCTACCTCTATCACTCGCACTGTCGCGGATACCAACAAACGTAGATAACAGCAATTATACATAAACACTGAATAAACTTGTCTTACCTGTGTTGAACGTGAGGGGTGTGTCTGGGTGCTGATGTCCGAATCTAGGATGTCTGCACACTGCGTCTCCTGCTCCCGGCGTTATCACTGTGTATCTGACCTACATACAGGCGTCAGTGTTCCGGGAAATCTACTTTCATTTTCGTTGTGATAAATTCTTAATAGTGCAGCCCTGCATAACGATAACTCATTCAGTCTTCAACGGAGGTATGCCGTCAACCACAGCCACCCTGTGATATAAGGGTCGAGGAAAAAACGCCGATCGTGCGTGTATGCATGGAGATGTTGCAAGACTTGTGTTTAGTTGATGGGGGTTTTAACGTCGCATTCAAGACTATTGCGATTATCTAAAGCGACACGTATGCATATGTGCGTGGGTGTGCGTGCATGTGTGTGTGTGTGTGTGCGTGCGTGCGCGCGCTTGTACTAGTCCGGACTAATGCCGTATAATAGTGCGCTAGCCCACAGAGTGCCAGTCAGGGTAACAACAAGTACCATCTTTTAACGGGATCGAACACCGACCTTCCGTCTCCGGGCAGACGCTCTATCCACCACGGAGGCAGGTGGCAAGTGTTTTGACAAACAAAAAGGGGAATATCTCACATCGCCAAGGTTAGCTGAGTATTTTATACAGATACAGGACTATACTGAGTTTAGTAACTCATAACCCGCCATTAATATAAGACATAAATAATTAATCCTCAATAGGTGTGGTTAAAAGCCTCAAAATAAAAACGAAATTATCTTGACCATATAATTTTGACAGACAAAAGTAAATCTAATATAATTATTTCATGTTATGGTTGGGAAAACACCTGTTTGTGTGTGCCACGACACACGCCCTGATACAGAGCATTTAGACTAACATCTTGTCTCTGAAATGAACATATCGTACAGAAAAAACAGTTGTTCAATTATCTTAATAAAAATATAATAAAGGGGAGCCCAGAGACTCACTTTATTTTCAGATACTGCAGTATCTAGACTTGCCAAACATTATAGACTTGCATGGGCTGTATTTGATATATTTTGTATCGTTTGACAACGTTTAATATATTAACACATTGATTTTTGTTGCTATGTGTGTGAGCATTGATATTTCAATGCCCCTTCGATCGCAAAGCCAGGAAGTACATGACCAAATTTTTCGACGGAAGAACCAACAGGAAGGAGTCGAGATTTTTAGGTCTCATTACATGGCTCCACCCAGTTGATTGCAGCATCTGTATGTGTATGTAAATGCGTGAGTGTGTGCGTGCATACGTGCGTGTATATTCATACATTTGTATCCGCGTATGTGTGTGTGTGCTTGGGTGTATGCTTGCTTGTGTGTGTTTGTGTGTTTGTGCGTACGTGTGTTCGTGCGTGCTTGTGTTTGTGCGTGTGTGCGTGTTTGTGCGTACGTGTGTTCGTGCGTGCGTGCGTGTGTGTGCGTACGTATGTGTTCGTGCGTGCGTGTGTTTGTGCGTACGTGTGTGTTCGTGCGTGCGTGTGTTTGTGCGTACGTGTGTGTTCGTGCGTGTGTGTGTTCGTGCGTGCGTGTGTGTGTGCTTGTGCGTACGTTTTAAATAATCCAACTCCATATGAACACGCCCCGCTTTAGGGTTTCATTTGACACCAAGATCGCCCAGCAGGGTGTAGACAGTTGGAGACACGCTATATGCCAAACCTGGACTGTCGCTACGAGACCCACGGACACACAATAAGTGAAATTCTGGCCATGGACTTCCTCACCAATAACACCTTAGTGAAATGTGTGTATGAGACATTTGGGCACGAACTAGGCATCTTCATGGGCATCAGTTGTGTTCCCCTTCTTGCTGACCATGGCCGTTTGGAACATCAGCATATACTGTTTCACTGTACACAGCCGCATACATTTTCCGGTCACTTGGAATTGTGCTTTGCCAGAAAATGATTCTGACGTATTACCTAAGTCTTTTTTACTACCACAAACCCGACAATTTTCTTCTCACACTGTGGGCTAACCCCTACTCAACACAATACGCATCCTACTGTAGTATACTGTTGTATACTAATCATTTTATAGATGTGATTAATCTTCTCTTCCTTTTAAAACTATTAAATGTATTATTATCGAAAATTCTTCTAAGTATGGAAGCTCTTCATATGCTGTGCCTCATGAATTTCAAACAGTATAAAATTCATGCCTGAATTTTAAACGGCTTAAAATAATTAATTCTAAAGTGTCTATTTAATATACTTCATGCAGTTCTCATACCCGACATAAAGTTCAACATTACGTTTCTACTTTTCTTTGATCACTCCACTCTAATACTTAAGTAACATAGTGCAGATCAGTCAGTGCCTTCAGCCATGACCAATGTTGTTTTAAGGTGTGTGACAAATGGGACGTGTAACTAATGGGAGGATACCCAATAGGCAGCCTATGCAATTATAGACTTGGCGACCACGAGGCGACCCGAACTTCATTCAAGCCATTAAACATAATATCTCTCACAACTTCCAAAACAATCAGGGCGGTCGGGTAGCCTAGTGGTTCAAGCGTTTGCTCGTCACGCCGAAGACCCGGGATCGATTCCCGACATGGGTACAATGTGTGAAGCCCATTTCTGGTGAAATAATGCTAAAAGCGGCGTTAAACCATACTCACTCACTCACTCATTACAAACTCTTACATTGTATCAGTTACCAAGGTGCCCAGTAGTTACCCACCGTTGACTTGAAAGTCGATCGGCCTTGCACCGAATAAATATCCCTTCATGTTAAGGTTGAATCTAATAACGATCCTTCCTTTGCCAATTTTAAGAGGTGGGCAGCGGAGTTCAAGAGGTGAAGACACGAGAGACGGTCTCGAAGATGTTTCAAGATCAAGAAGACCTTCAACTGCCACGGCTAAAGAAAACATATAAATATTTGATATGATAAGGGGGGCGGTCGGGTAGCCTAGTGGTTAAAGCGTTCGCTCGTCACGCCGAAGACCCGGGTTCGATTCCCGACATGGGTACAATGTGTGAAGCCCATTTCTGGTGTCCCCCGCCGTGATATTGCTGGAATATTGCTAAAAGCGGCGTTAAACCATACTCACTCACTCACTGATATGATAAGGGATGATTGACGACTCACCATACGCGACATAGCCAATACAATCAGCATCTCTCATAACAGAGTTGAAAACATTCTCAATGGTGAACAGTTTCAGCACGCTGGGTTCCAAGTCTTCTGATTCCTGATTAGAAACGCTTCAGGTTCATCCTCTCTAGTGAGACTTAACATCGTTTTGAAGCAGACCCAGCTCAATGAGTTGAGTGATTTGTAACCATGGACGAGTTTTGGCTTCCCCACTATCGGATTAAACAACAGTCAAAGCAGTTGAAACCCCTGACGTCTCCTGACCCGTGAAGATTCCGATGTAGAATTGGTCTTCAGCAACCCATGCTTGCCGTAAAAGGCGACTATGCTTGTCGTAAAAGGCGACTAACGGGATCGGGTGGTCAGACTCGCTGACTTGGTTGATATATGTCATCGATCCCAATTGCGTGGATCGATGCTCATGATATCAATCACTGGATTGTCTGGTCCAGACTCGATTATTAACAGACCGCCGTCATATAGCTGGAATATTGCTGAGTGCGGCGTTAAACAACAAACCAACCAACCAACCTGACGTCTCCTCCGACGAAAATGGCAAAGCCTGTTCCATCAGCTGGCAAGGTGACCATGATGACTTCATATTTCTGGTTTTCCAAAGGAGTCAAACTGATGGAGTATCTCCCGAAAGGTCAGACTATTAAAGGCCTATATTATGCTCATCTGCACAGGTAACTGCGTGTGAATGGCAAGGAAAACGTCGTCATTGTAGAAAACTCACTAGAAGTGTCTGGTTCCACCAGGACAATGCAGGACAGATCGTTTTCACCAGATTTGGCCCGTCAGTTTTCCAACTCTTCCTTAAACTTGCGGAAAGTATTGCTGGAAAAATTACGTTATTTCTTCTGTGAAGGTCGTGATCTGAAAGGAGGATGTCTTCTGAACCAGTGAGATCCAGGCTTATAAAGAGAATTGCTGATAATATAATGTGGAGGAAATCATGAAAAATAATTATTAACCAATGAGTTGATGATTCACGTATTGGCATTTCTATCATCCGAGGCTCCAGTTAGACAAGTACACATTGTTCCACCTTACATTCACATTCATGTTTGGCTTCTTCATTGCAGGGGTATGAGTTATTATCTTCCTGTAATATCAGCAGCAAAACCCCAAGGAATAAAGATGGCATTCTCCATAAGCAAATTTTATTGGAATATAAGGTTAACAGAAATATTTTTTTTAAAAACAAGTTATGCTGAGACGTTTGGTTTTCTGTCGACATATTGGTAAAATTTGTTATTTATCATAACAAAAAACATATACTCGCCTAAAGTATAAACATAAAGGCATGGTCAAAGTGCAAAATCAAATGTCAGACATATACTAGTCTAAAGTACAAAACATATTAAACACTGCATACTGTGTACAGAAAGGCGGTGAATACTAATCTGAACTAGATAAACCAGTGATTGGTATTTTTAGTATAAACACGTTTTAACAGCTACGATGAGAATTCCTAGCCCCAACCATATAGATAATAGAATCTGGACCAGACAAACCAGTGATATATATTATAAGCAACGCCCCAGCCACGCATTCGGCATATGATGCCACCAATCTACGAAGTCGCCTCTTACCACAAGCATATGTTGCTGGTACACTTGAAGGCGACCAGGGATAGTCCATGATAGTTACGTTAGAGTGAGTGAGTGAGTTTGGTTTAACGCCGCTCTAAACATCATTGTCAAAGCATTGTGTGTGTGTCTGTGATTAGATAATTTGTTTTGAGATAGGTGATTACTGAATTTCTTTGATACATTGTCAATCTCTTGGTATACCAACAAAAACGATATTACACTGAATGTAGTACCCATATCCTGACGCGCCTTCTGATTGGCTTGCGCCGTTGAGACGCATGGCGGCCCTTGAGGTGGACGAGCCTTGTTGTAGATCACGGACACATGTGGTGATGAATGTTAAAACACGACAACCATTTTGATTCTATCGCCTGATGTTTTGTCCACTCATGTAATACCTGAGGATATCCTTTGGAGTCTTCCCTTGCAGTTTTGAAATACACTGTCGGTACGAGACCACCTTTTTCTTGCCTTTGCCACAAGTTTGGCGATGTGGGTCGTTATCCTTGTGTTTCAGCCAGGCGAATCTGATGTGCTTCTTTTTCAAATCTTTGGGTAGACTTTTCAAAAATGTGCTGATGTCTTGGTTGCTTCTACCAGCAAATATACTACGGAGGCTTGATAATATGGGCGTTTTCTTTGGCTCACCAACATAAATTATATATCCCTTCCATAGGATTGTGAACACGCCACGTTGTGTTTTTCTTTTAAGGTTTCTTTTAAGAAGAGAAACATTGACGCCAGTATCCTCAAATAACGTCTCACAACGTTTCTGAAATATACAAGTAAAATTTAAAAAGGTTAGTTATGAAAATTCGTTTAATCAACCAAACTCAATATTTAATTGCAAAAACCTAAGTATAAAAACTCAGCATCTAATGTCTAAGAGACCAACCACTAAATATCTTGTGGTGGAGGGGTTTGGGGAAAACACCATTTAGTATGACAACAAATAACCGACGTAAATATGTGTTATGTTCAAAGCCTCGTTTGCAGCTGAGATTAAACATAAATTAATAACGTTTGCCCTCGATCACTTGTGGTCACACAATAGTAGCCATAAGGTTATATAAAACGAAGATAATCAAGAATAACAAAGAACTTCTAAAAACATTCAAAAGCTCAAGAACTAATTAAACTGAAATTATACCTGGGTTACTGCTCCCGATGTATCCGGATGTTTTCGTGAAACAATTGGCGACTTATTTCGCCTGGAGGAACGAGGTTGGGCTTGAGCTGTAGGCAGCCCGTCCTGTTTTCTCGACAGACCAGGTTGTGATCTTCCAACAGGCCGCCCCGAAGATCCTGCCCCCTCCTTCCCTGGTTCTATCTTGATGATGAGTTCAGGTCGAGGTTCCACCCTCTCATGCTGACCCGCCGGACACCCGCAATATGTACAGTTGTGTCTGAGGACAGGTAGGGAATACTGAGGACAGTCCTCGGGGCAGTCTCGACACCTACCCCGAACAACTCCGTACTTGTCTCGGTTGAAGTCCGTGAACATTGCCATGTCTGAAACGAGAACAAATACAATAGGTTTGGCTATTTGTTGGACAGCACGACTCGGGATCGTACAGAAAAAAGGTTAAAAAGAAGCCGCCATCATGCAGCTGGACTATTCCTGAGCTGAATGCAGAGTTAAACAACAAACAATAAGTAACATTAATACTTAAATCTACCACAAACAATATTGTCATTAAGAAATGTAACCGAGTATAACGCTTTTTCAACCGCAGTCAGCAATGTTATGACGATAACGGCCTGAGGCCTGTTCCAAATCATGCCAGGTCAAGACAAACTATTGGATGACAGCATGCATAATGAACCCTACCATCCAAATGCCATGACGAAATCACCAATGCCGCACAAAATAACAACACCCTTAACCCTTACCTTTCGTAATATTTTTTTGTCACTTCTTATCATAAAAACAACAACATGCACTTATTCTGGGAATTGATATCTTTTAAATCTCTGCAAATGGTCCGTCGTTCACTCGTCACGTTGAAGCTCTTTGTTCGATTCCCCACATAGGTACTATGTGTGGAGCCTATTTCTGGTGTCTATCGCCGTGATATTGCTAAAAGCGACGTTAAACTCAATTCACTCACTCACTCTGATAAGCTGACTGGCTATATTAATAACCAAACATGTCAGTAAAGGTGATGCCATATCAAATAATGACCTCAATAATAACGAAGTTAATCTTGCTTTTGACGAAATCTTTATTCAGCTCGACCAAGTAATATAAAAAGAAATTGGTCAGACAAAGAAACAGTAATTAACCACAACTTATGCAAATGAGAATACATTTGCCCTATTCAAATTCAAAATGTTCGCAAAGTATCCTTTACTCCGATTTTTCGATTTCATGAGTATCCATTTTGTGATCATCTGGGCCAGATTCAGAACAAGAACCGACTCGCTTTGGTCGCGCGATGAAGGCATGGCCCTGCATGTTGTACAGTGGCTTTCTTCCTTCCATTCTTTCAAAACACTTAAGGTAGCTACAATTACAGGCATGTTTGATGGTAATATCAAGCCAAAACACTGTTATAAATTCCTCTTTGTATTCTTCGTGTAGGGTGCTTAGATATGCTCCAATGTGTTGTTTGTCCATTCCTTTGAAATGTTTCCTCAGTGCTCTTCTGATTGATGCACTTTCGGCATTGCCCACATAGATTGTCCGACCATTCTCGGCAATTTTGTATGAGCCATTTAGTGCCTATCTACGTTCTCCCACCCCTGTCACTCACACTGTCGCCGATACCAACAAGTGACGTGAGGTGGGTTTAACGTCGCGTCCAAGATTATTGCATTTATAAAGCGACGTGCATGCACGCGCGTGTGTGTGTGTGTGTGTGTGTGGCTGGTTGTACTGGTCCGGACTGATGCCGATTTATAGTGCAAGCTCACCGAGATACCATGCCGCAGTTTAACATGAATACCCCACTCAGACACAGCATACTTACTCCGAGCCGACCAGTCCTTGTTTTAGCCCCTTAATGCCGAGCGCCAGACAGGGTAACAACAAGTTCCATCTTTTAACGATAAGAGCAATTATACATAAACACTGAATAAACATGTCTTACCTGTGTGGAACGTGAGGTGTGTATTTGGGTTCTGAAATAGGAATCTAGGATGTCTGCACACTGCGTCTCCTGCACCAGGTTGTAAGACTGTGCACCTGACCTACATATAGGCGTCAGTGTTCTGGGAAATCTACTTTCTCTTCCATTGTGATAAATTCTTAGTAGTGCAGCCCTGCATAACGACAATTAAATCAGTCCTCAGAGGTATGCCGTCAACAACAGCCACCCTGTGATATAAGGGTCGAAGAGTGAGTGAGTTAAAAGTTTACGTCACATCGGCAGTATTTCAGCCATATCGTGACGAGAACAGCCCTGCATAACGACAATCAGGGGTTTGTGAGAGATACACATATGTCCCACATGTTGATATATCCCAATTGCAGAGCTATAAATAGGCTTTTGGTTTTTTGGGTATTTTACCCAGGGGTTTGATTTTGATTGGGTATCAACAAATTTTAGAGGGTTTTGAATTTTTCTTAACCCACCTATTTCTTGACATCTGAGCATTTTAACTTGAAAACCTGTTTCTTAATAAACCCTGTACGTTATTTAACTATGTGAATAGTAGTATACCTGTCTGCGTCTGCTTGCGGCTCCCTCTGCCGGAAGCCGTTTGCAAAACCTAGCACACTGTAAGTAAGGCGCTATTTCTTTAATCACCAATCAGCGACTATTAAAAAAAACAGCATGTACATTGACTAGGCAGTATGTGCTTTTTCATTGACATCTATCAGTGTGTGGTCAAGCTCGCCGACCTTTCAGATGCATGTCATCTTATCTCAGTTGCGAAGAATGATGCTTTTGATGTCAATCACAGGGTTGTCTGGTCCAGATTCGATTATTTACAGACCGCCGTCATATAGCTGAAATATCACTCAATGCGACATGAAACAACAAACAAACAAACAAACAAACAAGATCATTCAGTTCATTCATGTGGAGTGACTAAATTTTACAAGGAGCGATATGACTCTTCGCCGACAAACAAATCGTCAATCGGAAAGTCCTTGACATTGCTGTTCGTAAGGAAGGCTGAAAACACTGATAAAGCCAACAGCGGTGAGTAAATCCCGATCTAGTTCATTTTAAGAACTGTTTTCAACAGCGTTAGTTGACAACAGCTTAGCGATAAGTAGCGTACATGGATATGCGTACTTGTAGTGTCACTCTGACTAAATGTCCTTTCGTTGATAACTACACTACATCTAAAGGTGGGTAATTATGTATCCTTTTTGCCAATTAATATATAATGTAACAATATATAACTTATAACATATAATACCCCATTCTGTCGTAAATTAGAATATAGCAAATGTCAGCAATTATGAATAAGGGGTTTAGAACGGATGATATATAATGTAAGGAGGAGTAATCATAGAATGATTCATCTGAGCGATTCAGTGTTATGAAACAAGCTGTATAATGTCACCGTGACCCTGATAACACACAGTCGGCCCCTGCCAGCATTCTTAGCATGCAGCTGAAACCCACACTTTTGTGGGTCAACTGTTATTGAACGTTATTTCACACGCACACTTTATTCTAGAGAGATTTTTTTTACTTTTGAAATTTTGAAACTTTAATAATTGGAGTAAACATTACATTTCCGATCAGCATTGTTATTAAGTGAGACAGTGAGTTGGGTTTAACGCCGCTTTGAACAATATTCCAGTCATATGAGGGCGTGCCAGCTTAATGTTGGAGGAAAGGCTGAAGTGATGCAGGTCACAGACGTTTACCACTTTTGTCAAACGGTAATGGGTTTGGTGCTAGATAAACTAGAAACATAATTGAACACACCGGTATTCGAACCCACAATCATAGGTTTCTGGCATACCCAAGGGACGCAACTCTACACAGCGAATTGTGGCGACTAAAACGACTGGGTCACCCGTGCCCCCATTATTATTAATGTTTATTATGTGTTAATATGTAATGTATATCAAGTCTTGTTTTCAGCAATAGAAGTCAAGGTTGTGACTTTATTACAGTTATGAAGTAATGGGGTATCAATTGTATTGGCGGCCCAGTCTTCCAACGCGCTGCAATGCGCTGTGCAGAGTAGTGGGTCTTTTTAAGCGTATCGTTCATGATCAGTTGTTCGAATCCCGTGGTCGTGGACTGCACTAAACGTTTAAGACCTGCATAACTTCGGGCTTTACTCCCACTCGTTGGAACGCCATGAAATAACTGAAATATTGTTCAAAGCGGCGTTAAAGCAGACTCACTCACCCACTCGCTCAATACATTTATGTACACTTTCCATTTCAGCACAGTCATGAATAACCGGGGCGTGTTGCCTGAGCCGAATGACTCTGGAAAGCCACAGGTGCATCCTCTCTACAGCTCACACAACATAAAGCTGTACTCACACTTCATACCAGTATATGTCCAGCACCCATGGCCGACTAATCTGGAGCTGGTTGAACCGGAACCGAGCCAGGTCTCGACATCTCGTACGAGTTTGCACGGTTCAATCCAACAGACAAAGGTTGTTGCACATGTTCGAAACAGCTCTGTTCCTCGAGAAAAACCAAGAGATCACACACAGAGGAATGACTGTCCGCCTCCTGCAGCACATGGGGTATTGCATTGCCAGGACGAACAGGGAACTGCTGAGACAGCACTGGGGCTGATAGCTAGTGCTTCTGATGACGTTACGTCGCAACCTGAAACAAATACCAAACAAGAGTGTGAACGTTTAAAGGACTTCCAGACACCGTGCATTAATAAAGGACAAGATATGGACACAGAGAGATCTTCGAAGACAGAGCGGCCATTGAATAGAAAAAAAGACAAACAGGCTATGGTGCCCAAAACAGGCCGCATGTCGATACCCTTGATTGCCGTAAGTAGTTTTAATGAATGAAGTGGTATGGCTTTACGCCACTTTTAGCAATATTCCAGCAATATATCACGACGGGGAACAACGGAAATGGGATTCACACATTGGACCCATATGGGGAATCGAACCGGGCCTTCGGCGTAACGAAGTAATAGGAGTGACTGAGTGAGTGAGTTGGGTTTAACGCCGACAGTTATATCGCGGCGTCTCGGCTTAATGTGAGAGGAAAGCCCGAAGTGATGCAGGACTCAGACGTTTACCACTTTGGTGAAACCCACAAGCTCGGGAATGGTGATGACAAACCTAGAAACATAATCGGGGCGAACCGGGATTCGAACCCACAATCATAGGTTTCTGGCGTGCCCAAGGGACGCAACTCTGCTGCACAGTGAATCGTGGCGCCTTAGACGACTGGGCCACCCGTGCCCCAAGAAGTAATAGGAATGTTTCATGAACAATATTAGTTAATTTCCCATTGATTTCATTTCGTAATCAACTCGTCATGAACACCAACAATGTGCCTCTTGTCTATGTCATAGTCGCCTAAGGCGCTGAAATTCCTTAAGCGTGCCAGAAAACTATGATCGTGGGTTTGAATCTAGATTCTCCTGATTATGTTTCTAGGATTGTCAAATTCGTAAACATCCAAGACCTGCATCACTTCGGGCTTTCCTCCCATGTCAAACTGACACGCCGTGATAAGACAGGAATACTGTTCAAATCGGTGTGGAACCAAACTCACCCACTCACTCATAATGTTTTACTGGCTGGCTTACTGACTTGTATTGAGGTGTTACCAAAATACTGCTTTTTATTCCAGATGAAACCATGCAAGCTGTTGCACAGAGGTCATGTACCATATTCAGTCATCGTGCGGACGAAGCGCAGGCCAAGTGGTGTGTACAAGATAGCCTACAAGTGGGAAACTATCTATGTCAGTTCGCCAACAAGCAATATCATCAAGGAGCTTCGGAAACAGTTCAGTGGTGATGGCAAGCAGGAGATAGTAAAGTTCTTGCTGAATCTTCCCAAGGAGGAACTTGAGCTGGTGTCAGTGTTCTGGCTTAATGAGAGCATACACGTCCATCACTGTGGAAGGTCCTACCTGGAATGTATTAGAGACCTGCAGGGAAAGAAACCAATGCTTAACGACATACAACCGATTCTCTGCTCGATGACAAATGCCAGTGTGACAGAAGATCCAGACAGATATAGCCCTTTAGATGATCATAGTGCACCTACATTCCGCTTGATGCCGAGAAAGAGACCTGCCTGTGATGATGGAGAGAAATCACAGTTTCATACCGATGCAAAGAAAATAAAGTATGATCAACATGGACAACTGTCAAGGCATCTTCCGACAAAGAGTCCCAAGGACATTCCCATCTGTCGACGTCAAACAACCTTATCTTCTTCAGCCACAGTGCCGAGTACAGTAATGAACTTGAATATGAAAATAACTGAGATGTCACTGAGCAATGTTTCTACAATACCAGCCTTGGCCGTCTCATCCGGACGAAGATCTCAACCAATACGACCTTCTGAAGATAAGTCAATGAACCTTCAAAACTTTCATGAAAATCAGACAACCCATGATGTGCTTCAGCAGTTAGGTATTTCTCCCCGGTCGCCAGAATTTGAAGCCAGGACCGAAAATGATAATATTGGGAAAGTGACTGGACATGCTGTACCAACGAACATCATTAGAAAAGATAAAAGAGTAGATGCGACACTTTCAACTGTCACTAAAGAGTACCAACCTGCCTGTCCTACCACAATACAGGTAAATAAATATTCCCCAAAGAAGCTACAACGACAGAGCATCAGAAGAAAATGTAAATCTCCCAGTAAAGAGACATTAAGAGATCACTCAACGGTTCTAGGGAAACATTCACAGACAGGATCCCCTTGTTTCGAACCATCCTCTGCAGAGAAGGGCCAGAAACACACTGTCGGTTCTGCACATTCTCAACACACAAAAATAACACCTCGATATGAGCTTATGCAGCCTGAGAAGAGAACGAGGGGCAATGTCTATTCAGATCAAGAACAGAGAGTATCAACAACAAGTGGAAATGACCCTACTAAGAACAAGAAAATGACTCCAGTGTCTTCCGAATCAATTTCCGATAACAGTTTTGCAAACAAACCGTCTGTGATCACGCCTAATGCTGTAAACCAGAAACCAGAACTAAATGTGTCCAAACTGTTGGAGAGAATGTTAAAGGCTGCACCAACCCAGCAGAACCCACCAAACTTTCTTGGTCAGACAAAAACGCCTGGTGAAGGTAGAAGCTGTAAAACCAAGAATCCACAGTACAAAGGCCGAGGCTCCCATACTGGAAAGACTTTGGTTTGTGAGTCCATTGTCTCCAGTACGCAAACATATTCTTCAATCCAACACTCTCAGACAAAAGTTGGAAACAAAACATCCAGAGAAACACGTAAAATCAGGGCACGACAATTGCTTAAGAAAGGCACAGATTCAACGCAAGGTGTTGGGGTATTCTCAGTGCTCAAGACCTTTGGCTCGAAAGTTTTGAATATGATGAACCCATTTGTAACTCCAAACGATGGTCAGTAGGGTTGCAAACGCTCAAACAACACTGAGCTTATACACTGCTTTGAACATGAGTTCAGTTGATGCGCGGCAGCAGCCCAAACTGATGTACTCTGTCGGACAAAAGAAAGTATTCACCCGAGGCTGATGATGAATAAAACAAACAAGATATGGTCATTCTATGGTGATGTATTTGATACAGGTATCACAGTAAACTGTTGTGTTTTAGACCTTACGTTTGCAGTGTTGCAGCGACTGTTTTCCGCCTTGTAACGTCTTGATAACGTTTGGCATTTTTTGTCATCTCCAATTTTCAAGTGTATCCTTTCTTTTGCCCGGTCACAGACATACACACTTACCACTGAAAACCCACCTTCACTCGTATTGTGCTGACAAACATAATCAGGTGAATATTGGAATCGAGGCATCTTGATGCAGCTCTGAACAGTCGGGGGGCACGGTTGTCTGAGGCGCCGCGTTTCGCCGTGCAGAGTTGCGTCCCTTGGGCTGGCTAGAAACCTATGATTGTGGGTTCGAATCCCGGTTCGCCCCGATAATGTTTCTAGGTTTGTCAGCACCCGTGCTCCTTGGTTTCACCGAAGTGGTAAACGTCTGAGACCTGCATCACTTCGGGCTTTCCTCCCACATTAAGCTGACACGCCGCGATATAACTGAAATAATGTTAAAAGCGGCGTTAAACCCAACTCACTCACTCACTCACTCTGAACAGTCAGTACATGGCGGACGCTTTAGTAAGCCGTACACACCCCATCAAACCACCACATACACTTTCTTTGTAAATGCAAAATACGCCGGACAAGTTTGGATCATCTGCCGAAACAGATTCCACCAGGTGTAAATGGCAAAACATTGTTTTTACTTCAAGAACCGTGCGTATTTCATGACTTCGCTTATGACCTCATCCTTTGGGGGCACGGGTGGCCCAGTCGTCTAAGGCGCCGCTATTCGCTGTGCATATTGGGTCCCTTGGACACTCCAGAAACCTATGATTGAGGGTTCGAATCCCGGTTCGCCCCAATTATGTTTCTAGGTTTGTCAGCACCATACCCGTGTTCGTGGGTTTCACCGAAGTGGTAAACGTCTGAGACCTGCATCACTTCGGGCTTTCCTCCCACATTTAGCTGACACGCCGCAATATAACTGGAATACTGTTAAAAGCGGCGTTAAACTCACTCACTTACTCTCATCCTTTCTGACAAACTTGTTATATCCCTGATTGTGTTTTGCGGAAGTGTCAGTGTTCGGGGTGGTCGCCCTTCAAAATGGGTAACAAGAGACGTTGACGCCTGTTGTATTGTTTTGTTATATATGTGTCCTGAATTGACTTCTATTATTTCATCTTGTATCAAGGACACTTAATACCTTAACGAATCGCAATTATATATCAATGAAATATCTCATATATCCAAGGTCACTGGTGAGCCCTCATCGGGCAGGTTATGCTGTTGCGATGACTCGCGATGATTATAACTGGGACTGAACCGACAGCATTCAAAAGATGCGGCCTTTTTATACAGCCAGTTGTGATATTTGTCAATTGATATCAAGTTATATTTTCAAGGTCTTGTTTTCTTGCATAAAATGAATTCTTAAGTGTACAGTGATCATCAATTCAATTTATGTGTATGGTTTCGTAAGAGAGGAGCAAATAGTTAAATTAATTTTGCTCCATGTTTAGAACTGACTTCAACATTTCTTTTGCGTTTATGGAACGACAATTTCGGGGTGCACACTGTGTAAATCCGTATAGTGGTAAATGTTAGATCGTCTGGGGAAACCTCCAAGTCAGGAGTGGTTGGTACATCAGACATGTCTTCACAAGGGGGTATAAAGTCGACGCCAAAGGTGTTTGAAGACAGCAAACGACATCATGGAGATTCTGATGGACCAATGTGGAACCAGAGAGTCCTGAGAACAGGCATTCGTTGCAGGCGAAAAAACGTCGATTATCGATACCCCTGATGGAGGCTAGTGATCTATCGAAGTACGTTTATGTTGTTCTTTTTCCAGTGTTAATGCCCCAATATGGATTCCGTATTTAATCAAAGTTGTTTGTTATATTGTTTCTTCAGCATTTATTTGATGTGTACTGTATACTAGTGTTGACTATAAGTAATGATATCTTGTAAAAGGCGATTGGTTAATTACAAGCACAGAAACCCATTTCCATATGCTATGAAATCTGTCACAAATTTGAAGATCTCCTTATAGCAGGGACGTTGGTTTCCTTGTAACCCTCCGTTCAACTATGAGGCATGTTTCCCTATCTTCTCGGCACCTTCCGCGGTTTTCTTTTGTTTCTGAAAATATGTTCACGGCTGTAAATACCACTTCAAATGATTCCATGTACAGTCTAGTATAATCCTAGTAAAGAATATAGTACTATGTATGTTTATAGGTATGTGTTTAAAAGTAACATCTGATAGTATTGGTGTATCTCTACAGTGGTGAATATATTTGTTTTAAGCGAAGCGTATTTTTTCCTCAGCATACAAAACATAATATTATTGAAAATAGTTAAGTACCATGAAGAATATTGTTTGTTGGAATCTTACAAGAAAATCATATGGACAAATAATTGTTTCGAAATAACAGCATACTGAATCGCTAAATATTACATCGTCCATTATATACACAAAACTGTAAATTTGTTTCACAATCTAAGACCCCGTTCATATGCACATGTATTTGACATAGGTATGTAAAATAATATTCTATGAAAGTTTGTTCTGTCAGCAAACTACATGTATGTATCATATGCTATGGAATGTATAAAAATGCTGGTATTATTTGTAGCTGGTGGTATACATGTATACTGAGTTTTAACTTTTATCACGTTATGTTTTCAGTAATATACAGAATAAAAAATTATCAACTATTTTATAAGTCTTTGAAATCCATGCTCCAGAGACTACACATGTGTCTGTTAATGCTCCTGAGACATCACGTGTGTCTATTGGTGCTCCAGAGTCCACACATTTGTCTGTTGGTGCTCCAGAGACTACACATGTGTCTGTTGATGCTCCAGAGACTTCACATATGTCTGTTGATGCTCCAGAGACTACACATGTGTCTGTTGATGCTCCAGAGACTTCACATGTGTCTGTTGATGCTCCAGAGACTTCACATGTGTCTGTTGATGCTCCAGAGACTACACATGTGTCTGTTGATGCTCCAGAGACTTCACGTGTGTCTGTTGATGCTCCAGAGACATCACATATGTCTGTTGATGCTCCAGAGACTACACATGTGTCTGTTGATGCCCCAGAACCTACACATGTGTCTGTTGATGCTCCAGAGACTACACATGTGTCTGTTGATGCTCCAGTGACTACACATATGTCTGTTGATGCTCCAGTGACTACACATATGTCTGTTGATGCTCCAGAGACTACACATGTGTCTGTTGATGCTCCAGTGACTACACATGTGTCTGTTGATGCTCCAGTGACTACACATATGTCTGTTGATGCTCAAGAGACTACACATGTGTCTGTTGATGCTCCAGAGACTACACATGTGTCTGTTGATGCTCAAGAGACTACACACGTGTCTGTTGATGCTCCAGAGACTACACATGTGACTGTTGATGCTCCAGTGACTACACATGTGTCTGTTGATGCTCCAGTGACTACACATATGTCTGTTGATGCTCAAGAGACTACACATGTGTCTGTTGATGCTCAAGAGACTACACATGTGTCTGTTGATGCTCCAGAGAACACACGTATGTCTGTTGATGCTCCAGTGACTACACATATGTCTGTTGATGCTCCAGAGACTACACATGTGCCTGTTGATGCTCCAGTGACTACACATATGTCTGTTGATGCTCCAGAGACTACACATGTGTCTGTTGATGCTCAAGTGACTACACATATGTCTGTTGATGCTCAAGAGACTACACATGTGTCTGTTGATGCTCCAGAGACTACTACACATGTGTCTGTTGATGCTCAAGAGACTACACATGTGTCTGTTGATGCTCCAGAGACTACACATATGTCTGTTGATGCTCCAGAGACTACACATATGTCTGTTGATGCTCCAGAGACTACACATGTGTCTGTTGATGCTCCAGAGACTACACATATGTCTGTTGATGCTCCAGTGACTACACATATGTCTGTTGATGCTCCAGAGACTACACATGTGTCTGTTGATGCTCCAGAGACTACACATATGTCTGTTGATGCTCCAGTGACTACACATATGTCTGTTGATGCTCCAGAGACTACACATGTGTCTGTTGATGCTCCAGTGACTACACATATGTCTGTTGATGCTCCAGTGACTACACATGTGTCTGTTGATGCTCAAGAGACTACACATGTGTCTGTTGATGCTCCAGAGACTACACATGTGCCTGTTGATGCTCCACTGACTACACATATGTCTGTTGATGCTCCAGTGACTACACATATATCTGTTGATGTTCCAGACATTACACATATTTGGTCTTGATACTCCAGAGACTACACAAGTGTCTATTGATGCTCTCCAAAGACTACGCATATGTCTGTTGATGCTCCAGAGAATACACACTTGTCTGGTGATGCTCCAGAGACTACACACGTGTCTGTTGATGCTCCAGAGACTACACACGTGTCTGTTGATGCTCCAGAGACTACACATGTGACTGTTGATGCTCCAGAGACTACACATGTGTCTGTTGAAGCTCCAGAGACTACACATATGTCTGTTGAAGCTCCAGAGACTACACATATGTCTGTTGATGCTCAAGAAAATACACACTTGACTGTTGATGATCCAGAGACTACACACGTGTCTGTTGATGCTCCAGAGACTACACAGGTGTCTGTTGGTGCTCCAGAGACTACACATATGTCTGTTGAAGCTCCAGAGACTACACATATGTCTGTTGATGCTCCAGAGACTACACACGCGTCTGTTGATGCTCCAGTAAATTCACATATGTCTGTTGATGCTCCAGTGACTACACACGTGTCTGTTGGTGCTCCAGACTACACACGTGTCTGTAGATGCTCCAGAGACTACACATGCATGTATACCTATGTCTGGGTGTATAAGTTCGATAAGTTATGTATTTCTCCTCCAGACTTTGTGTTCTGGTGGCTTTATATTTCATGGCCTTGTCCTGTCGGGGACTCGTGTCCTTTCTCGAATGATTCCGTGATGGACAAATCATGAGAATCTGTAGAAACCGGTAATAGAATCAACGAGCCCCAAAGGGTCGAGTTGATTCTACTTCCGGAATGAACAGAGTCGAGTGATTGTTTTCCGACTTAAATCATGGTATGGTTGATATAATTTCTCTATAGTTTTGCATAATGTTTTTGCTTTTCATCTTTAGAGTTTAAATATTGGCGTATAAACCCTGAGAACAACTTCAAATAAGAATGATAACTATATTTATGTTTGAGTCCAGTTGTACTCATAAAGTGTTACAGTTGTACTGACATCTTCTTGTTGTGAAAACGATGCAACCTCTCTATAAAAAGAAACATTTTGTTATAGAATAGAGCCAGGTACCA